CTACACTGAGCTCGATTTCCGGCTCAGCTCCGTCTTCACCACAACGGTCTGGTACAATGTCCGGATTACTGCTGACGCCGCACTGATCCATCTGTCAATCTCCAGCTTGTTTCCCATCATGCCAAAGGTGTTGAATGCGGTTGAAGTTAAGGATCTGTGTGGGCAGTCCACTGGGCAGGATAAAGGTGTCCACATACTTTTGGTCATAGAGTATATTACAAGGGGAAGTGATGTAATTCTTCTAAATCATGTCCATGTATGTAAATGTCTTACTACTTCTCCATCTATTGCCTCTAATATTCAGTTTTCTGGGACGAGGCAAAGGAAAAAATAAAATATCTCGTCTTATTAGCCTATTAAAAAGTGTCAAAACTTACTAACGAGTGAGTAAATGTTCTCCCCCGGTTCCTTCCTCTTTCTGTCTCTGTCTGTAAACACAGATGTACATTTACAATTCCACCCACTGCTGCATTCCCTGTTGGGAAATATGCAAAGTGTTATGTAAAACACTGAGGGGGAAAAGTGCTCCACGTAAATTTGGATGTGACTGAAGCCTGTGAGCACTCACATTATCAGAGAGCAGATTTCTGTTGCTTTGATGCCGATTCTTTCAGTTAAAAAAAAATAAATGCTGCAGTGGTGTCAGGCACAAGAAATCATAATATAGAGAAAGCATCAATAAAAGCTGCTCACAGAAAAACCCCAGAGGCTCAAATCCTGCACGTTCACATGCAAATGAAGCTCAGAGGGAAGTGTGACACTTTGTCCCCCCCGAGCCTCTGCAGGATGAGACCAGTGACAGTTTGCAGCATCCCTCACTTCTACCTCTTCACACACAGAGAAGAAGAGGAAGAGGCAGCCTGCAGCCGCCTGGTTTGTATGCAGACGGAGTATCTTCTCCGCTTAGCACGGGAGATCTGCTGTGCACACTCAGCAGAAGATGTGGGAGAGGAGGGGGCTCGGCTCGTTGGGGGTGGGGTGATCTATATTTGGGGGGATATAATGGTGATGTAGCAAATACTCTGGGTGTTAACAGCACAGGAAGGGGAGGAGAAATGATTTGATGCAGTGTACAGTTAAACTGCTGCAGAGTGACGCCTGGTGTGTACCTACACACACACGCACACACACACACAGACACTACTGCAGCTACGTGCAAGCTCGAGTTGAAAAAACCAGGAGCAGTTGGCTTGAGACGAAGCTCCTGGCACATTAACATTTGACCACATTAGCAATGGTCATCACGTGATCCCGCGATCCCACGAGACACACACACACACACACACACACACACACACACACACACACACACTTCCTTCCACTGCAACACAGACTGAATTTACTACTCACTACCTACAACCTGGATTTTCACCAGTCAGTAAAAACATCATATACAACACCTCCCTCCATAGAGCAGGTGACTGCAGTCTGAATGATCTGGACTAGATCAGAAGATACAGCAGAAATTTTAACTGATGGGAAGAGACGACATATGTAACAATTAAATTAGAATGACCTCCTCGTGAAATATTAACTCTTTGTGTGAGATTTTGTCATATTTGCCGAGTGAAGTCTTGAGTAATGGCTAAAAATGTGCTTTGTGAGGTCACACTGATCTTGACCTTTGACTACCAAAATCTAATTAGTTCGTCCTTGAGTCCAAGTGAATGTTTTAACCAAATGTGAAGGGATTCGCTTGAGGAGTTCTCAAGATATTGCGTTCACAAGGCAAAAAACCTGTTTTGTGAGGTCACTGTGACCTTTGACCTTTAGCCACCAAAATAAAATCAGTTCATCTGTGAGTCAGCCTTGAATTTGTGCCAAATTTAAAGAAGTTCTGTCAAGGTGTTATGGAGATATCGTTTCCTAGAGAATGGGACGGACGGATGAACAAAAATAATCCTCTGTTCTGATTGGCTCACCGACCTGTTGTTACTAGAGCTCCAGAGAGAAGCCTGAGAGAGGAGATGTGGAACTACATTGTGATGGTTTTTGGTTCTTAAAACCACAAATATATCTTCTTATGGATCAACACTTCAAATAAAACACAGGAGAGGAGGAAAATATGGAGCTTTAAGTTAAATTGATTTGAACCTAATCACAGGAATCAGGTTTCATTAAAACCAGTGCATCTGATTCTGCAGGTCTGTCTGACCACTAAATACAGAAACCAGCTAAAATGAGATATTTTCACTGAAGGGGAAAAAAAAAACCCACATCAGCTCCTAAGCAGAGGTAATTAGAGTTGTGGTCCTGCCCTAAGAAGGAGTGTTTATTGCTCACACACATCGATTGAGCTGCCTCAGTGCAGGCGAATCCCATTTATCATGGTTTTAACTGACTGAGGAGGCTGTTCCTGTAAGTATACTCGTTGATAAAAAGCTTCATGCTATCAAATCACTGAGATGATAAGACGAGACAAGAATGACAAAAGGAATGCAGTTAGAGCCGTCAGCCGTCTGGCCACATATCGAACATAGCAACATAGCAAGACTCAAGTCTGTCTCTTCCTTGTTTCTTTTTTTGTTTTTTCATCTGCGGCTGTCATCACGGTGGCACAAGTTCAGCTCGTTACTGCTCGTGTTGTTGTCAACAGGAGACAACCAGCAGCTCAGTGAAGGAAGTGATACAGAGAAAATTAGGTTACGCTCAAGGAATTCTGGACATCTTAATGACTTTCTCATTATGGCTTCGACACGAGTTGCGGAAGAGGCCAGGCATTAAAAAACATTTTTTTAATCCAGCATGATACATTAAAATACTTTTAAATGCAGAAACCTGAAGCTGCACCTTGATAAACAAAAACCCGCAACAGGGATTTAAAATAAACCTGCTGTTGAGCATCCCAGTTGAAGAAAATGCTGCTCAGTGTCTCCTGTTACACTACATGGCCAAAAGTATGTGGACACCTCAAAATATTTGATTGCTGAACACCCAATTTCAAAACCACTGGTATGTATTAACTTCCTCCTAAAACAGCCTCCACTCCTCTGGTTTCTGAACCTGGCTGCAGGGGTTTGCTCCCATTCATTCTGCCACATCAGCTTCAGTGAGGTGCAGAAAAGCTGAAGTAGTGTGACACTGTTATCAGCATTGCAAATCCTCATAATGAGGAGGTCGGGATGGATGGGTGGGTCAACAATAAACGGAATGACTTGGACACAGGAGAGCATCTTTTGTGTCCTGTTTCCTACCCGCAGTGAACTGTGTTTTCTTTAAGCCACGACCAGTCGTTCTTTAACCTTAACCGAGTAGATTTTGTGCATAAGCTTAAACCAGGCTCAGTCACCGTGGAGACAGAACAGCAAACGACCATGAATAAGATCTGTAAGGGTCATTGTATTGATCCCAGGCAAGGAAATTGAAGCGTCACAGCAGCAAAAAACAAAAAAAAACATTTATAACGTGTATCAAGAGAAAAATAGTTTTGGAAGACGCTGACAAACCAAGAAAACACTCGTTTTGAAGAACCTTTTGTTGGACAACTGATTTTGTCATTCCAAAGGTTTTGGATGGGCTTGAAGTCAGTTCTTCAACACCCTATTGGGAAAACCATTAAAGACCTGGGCCCATATTCACAAAGCATCTTAAGGCTAAAAGTTGCTCTTAACTTGCAGATTTAGGAAAAACTCTTAATATATATAATAATGGTCCTAACTTTAGGACTCCTCATTTTTTTTTGGCTAAGAGTAATTCACAAAGCCACATAGCGCTAAAAGTAGCACCTAAGTCTGGGAGAAGTTAGAAGTTGCGGAGAGGACTCCTAACTCACTAACACCAAATCACAAAGAATCTTAAAGCTGCTGTCTTTCAACATCGTGATGTTCTAGAAACCTTAAATGCTTAGATGCTGAATGACTTAAAAGATACTCAATCACGATGGAATAATGATCATTGTGGAGCTTTAAAAGGATTAAATAACATCTCCCACCAACCAAAACAACCCAATCTTTTTTTCCCCATTGAGTGAATTGAATGTAAGTTTTTATAGTAAAATTAAATTCTCCCGGGTCGACACAAATCTCATCATATAGATGCATTTTGGAGAATGCACTACTTTTGTAAACAGCACCTAATCCGCTATTATTTAATTTGTATTTGTTTATTTCTCATTGTTGTTTTTTTATGATCACTGTGGGATGTTGCACATGTTTTTTAACCAGCACACACCGGTCTTTCATCAACCAATCACTGTGGGTCCTGTACATGAGAATTGACGTCATCCATAGCAACGCAGTCGCACTCATAGCTCAGGAATTTTCACTTTTCCTTTGTAAAAGCTGGTCTCAGCAGCTTTGTGAAAAGGACTTAGGAGAAAACCTTTAGATAGAAACTTTTAGTGCGACTTAGGAGTACTCTTAGTGGTAAGATAAAATGCTTTGTGAATACAGGCCTTGACCTGTTGCACAGGGACATTGAGGGTCTTGTCCAGACTGCTGTGGCAAAGTTTTGAAAAATCATCGTATGCTGCAGGATTAAGAGTTCTCTTCTTTGGAAATAAGGCGCCTGCACAAAGCAAAGTACAACCAAACTGTCTCTTCAGGGGTGTCCAGATACTTTTGGACAGCTGCTGTACAACTCCATTTATCAGTTGATCTTCTCTAACAAGTAAAGTAATGAACTATAAGAATGATTCTTTACAAACTAGGTACTGTATTTTGAAGCTGATTTGAAGCTGTGCTGATGAAAAAGTAAAAATTGAGTTGCACCTCTTATTAAAATGTAAACAGATCTGACTCCCCCAGTATCATTCCTCCTCCAGCCGACCATTCAGTGAGCCTAATGCTGCAGTAAGCCCCGGCATAAAGGACCTCTTATGTATCTTTCCACAGTGGCATTGTGTACCTGGCACAGCAATAAGCTCGTCCTGAGGACTCGCACATTTCCAACATATTCTACATTCTTTTGTTTCTTTGTGTTGTTTGCCTTGTGCTCTTTTTCTTCTGTGTCAAAGTTGACACGAGCCCTTACACTGACTGCTGCGTCACGTCACAACTCACCAGCACCGCACTGAAGCGCTCCTCCAGCTCGTCTTCAGGTGGCAACGGGAGTTTTGGCCCCGCGGCTTGTTTCTGGGGGCCCGTGGAGCCTGGAGGGGCCGACACCACCTTGCCCTCCTTCGCGTGGGGGACCTCCATGCTTCCTGCTGCGTTCCCCATGATTTTGTATCCGATAGATCCGAAAAACACACACATACACAAAAACCTTGCTCCTGGAAAATCAGCCTCAGTATAACTACTGTTAGACCATCTATAACTCAAAAATAAGGCTGTTTCTACTTATTCAGAGTTCAGTTAAAGGCTCTGGACAGTGACCTTTCATTATTTCCATGACCCCACGCCGAAGTGGCACCCATTACTCGTCCATAGTCTCAAACGAGGAGAAAGCAGCGGGATGAAATCCACCCCTGCCTCTGAATGAGAGTCAGACCTCGCACAGATCCTGATGCATTATGAAACCCTAGAAAGAGGGAAGGGGATATCCTGAGAGTGACAGACAGAGTGACAGCTGAACAAGTGCAAGAGAAAAGAGGGAGGAGATAGAGTTCAGAGCCTGTAGCTGCTGCACAGGACGAGGCTGCAATAGAAGAAAAATTAAAGGCAAGAGGATTGACAGGGAAAGGTATCACTTCTGTGTTTCCGTCTGCACAGGTGAGGTGAAAACGCTGCAGGTGAAACTACTCCCAAAGCTGCACAGCTCTCAGGTAAAGAGACACAGTTGGTCTTGAATTTAATCTATGGAAGTCCTCCATCTGCTGTGGGATGCTGGGAGGACCTTTTATCTCCATATCCAGAGGAAAAAAAGAGAGGAAGGCAGAGATCCAGCAGGCAGCCACTCTGTCTATCCGACACAGGGACAGAGAGAGACAGAAGGCAGCAGTGGCATTACTTCTAACAGTAGAGAGCACAGGGAGAGCTGAGTCTCTGGGTCCTAGTGCCTCCGTGTACAGGCTGCACTTCATGACAGAGAGAGGTGTTGGGGAAAAGTAGGCAAACTGAGCCCTGTGTTCAGATGCTAATTCAGGAACACTGAAAGTTAAGTCTGGTGATTTTTCTTATTGTCAACAATCCCATGAAAACACCAGAAAACATCAACTAAGGATTATTTCAATTAATCTGAAGTTTATTTTTTCAATTAACTGATTAGTTGATTTGTCTGTAAAAGACCTGAAAATGCTGAAGAATGAAATTTGTTTTGCTCAAACAACAGTCACAAACTTATTGATTATAATGTAATACCAATAAAAGCATTAGAGCTTCAACATTTGGAGGACTTTTGCTTGAAAATGACTTGACAAATTGATTTTATAATACAATTATATACAATTAATTTTCTGCCAATCAACTGGTTTTTTTTTGCTAATGTTATTATAGCTTTTGTAATGTAGTATTTAATTGTATCTCATTCTCAGCTTTCTACTTGATTTGTCCTTTTCTTTTAGCTTATCAGTCAGCTGTGAAGCACTTTGAAGTTGAAGTGCTATACAAATAAAGATTGATTGATTGATTGATTGATTGATTGATTGATTGATTGATTGATTGATTGATTGATTGATTGATTGATTGATTGATTGATTGATTGATTGACATATTGTTGGTTTTGGTCTGGAATTTGTTGACAATGAAAGAAATATTCGGTCATTTCATTAACAAGGCTCTGCCTGTCATCACACATTTGTGTATTGATGTTCGTAAGAGGATGGAGTTGTAAACCACCTGAATAACATCTGTGCTTGTGTGGTAGCAGCATACAGACTGAACAACATGTACTGTTACATCCTCAGTCTCATGAGACCTGAGTAAAATGTGAGCACATCACAAATTATCTTAATTCATTGTTTGTTAGTTTGTCAGCAGGATTACACAAAAACTACAGAACCAATTTGCACCAATCATGGTGGAGGGATGTTGTTGATGTTTGGATCAGACGTATCAATGGTGTTGAGTTTCTATCTATGAGTTTGTACAATTTGGCACAGATCCAAATAAGGCCCTTTCCTACAAGCCAAAATGTCTGCTGCGAAAAAGGCCCATCAGTGTTATTGTTGTAGGAGATGAGTTTTCATTTGAATACATTATGAAAAGCATCAACCTGGAGTTACAAAGCCTAAACGAAAGCCACAGCAGGTGTTTCCAGAGGCAACAGCCAAACGTTGGCAGCTCACAGCACCACACCCCCTCTAAGATCAAAGCCTCATTCATACTCATGTTGCGTCAACACACACCCTCATAAGAGCCTGCGTCCTAACAAACCACAGTTGTAATGTGGCCGCTAAAGAGGATCACAAATGTAATCAGTCATAAGTTGTGTAGCAGCGATGACGTAACTGTTTACTCAGAGAAGGCCAAAGGACTGTGTTGTTGGCTGCAGAATGACTGGGGTGTTGCTGGAAGGTGGAAGCAACTGTTAATAAATAATGAGCATCACACTGATACCTGTGTGTCTGGTCAGCAGCACACGGGCCATAAGGCGCCCGCCAGGTAATGAAGTGTGACACATTCAGTGGAGGAACTTTGTTCACCGGGTTGACAGTAAGTTAGAGTTTAGTGAAATGTGATGACACCTGTGCTGTGAGGTTTCTAACAGTTACCCAATCAGACAATCATGTGGCAGCAGTGCAATGCATAAAATCCTGCAGGTAGAGTTTAAAGAGAATGGAGCCAAAAACAAAAACATCACAAAACAGAAAGACTGTGGTCACTAAGACAACCACTCTTTACAACTGTGCTGTGCAGCTTCTCAGAATGAACAGCACGTCAATGATCATAAACCCTGAGCAAAGTTGGAGATGGTCAACTACAAGGAGCAGTCATGTTTTTAAGGACAGACTAGTAAACAGGGCCTCTGTATTAGGATGACATCTAGTGGTCAAAATACTGCATTACAGCTGGAAAACCCTCTGCACTTTTTCCTTTGCCACAGCTTGTCATTTTGTAACTGAATCTCTAAATGTTGGGCTTCTGTTTTCATTTAAAAACTAGAGATGAAATGTAGAAATAAAGTGGACTTTACAAAATCCTTTAGTTATTTTCATATGTAATGTAATGTAATGTGATGTAATGTCATTGTTGTTTTTTCTTCTTGGTTCATCTCTTAACAAGACAAAATGTCAGAAGGAATTAGAATATTTATTCAAATAAAAATAGTAGAGCTGTAATGATTAGTCAATTAATCAATTAGTCGATTGTGGTGAAGTGAACGCTAATATTAATATTCTTCTCAATCTTAGTCATTTTTTAACCAAAATACCAAAAAGAAAATTGTCATTTCCAGCTTCACAAATGTCAGGTTTTGATGCTTTTTTCAGTCACACATGACAGTAAACTGAACGCCTTTGGGTTTTGGATGTTGGTCCAACAACACAAGACAAATGAGCACATTATTTTGAGCTGTAGGAAATTAACAACAAGCATTTTCTTTCACCACATTCTGAACTTTCATAGACTGAGTGATTAACAGCAAAAATAAAGGACATTAAAAGTTGCAACCCTAAAAACAGCAAATAAATAAGAATCCTACTATCTCCAGCATTTGTTAATGTAGTGTTTACAATGTGCAACAATCAGTCTTAAAAAAAAGATCCAAGGCTTAATGAGTGGAGGCCACAGCACAGACTGACTCTACATGTCTGCTGGAGAGAGATGCCTCAGCAGTAAATACTGAAAGATGTGAGACTCGCACATTATAGCCTCAAGAGTCTAACAACCTTACAAGCTGATTTCTGTACAGCATTCCTATTACAGATACAGTATAATCTGACATTTACCAACAACAGAGATCTAACTGATCATCACATGCTCATGCTGCTGGTTTGCAGTTCCTGTGTTCAACATGTAGCATATGGAAGCTTTGATAATTACATAGATAATATCTGTGTGTGTGTGTGTGTGTGTGTGTGTGTGTGTGTGTGTGTGTGTGTGTGGTTGGTCCAGGTATTACTCATGCTGTTGGCACCTACATATGTTTTCACAGTCACATTGTGGGGACAAAATAAAGTCCTTGTAACGTAAATCATAAAATGTTTAAGTGCAGACATATTTTAAGGTTGGAGGAAGTCTACAGGAAATGAATGTAAGTCAATAATGTCATAGAGCTTTCTATGTAGTGCATGGAAACATGAGTCTTATTACTGAATTACTGATATACAGCAAAGTTTATTTATAGAGGGATGAGAAAAATATACATCAAAACAAAAAAATCTATATTTAATATCTGGAGAATTAACTATTAAATAACAAACAGCAAATTCTGTAGCAATGCATCAAAAGCTGATTCTTGACCATCCGCTTTCTGTCATGCCACTCTGGACTGAACAAATACAATGTGACCACATGTGACTGCTCTTGACCACAGTAGCACTGTAAATGACTAGTGTTACACAGCAATCCTCAAGACTTTGAGTAACAACCAACATGTGTCAACAACAACAAGCATTTAAAGCTAAAAATACTGAAAGTTAGTATCAAGTTAGTTCGATATGATATTTCCTGATTTATATTATAACATCTCAGTTTATTCTATGGTTCAACAGTATTTCATCCATATTTTGACAAGAGGCATAACATCAGAGCAATACTGCCTTACAACATCAAAATGCAGTAACAACATATTCATTCAAAACTTGTCACAAATCATGACCGGAATCTGACTTTTTGACAATTGAACATGAAACAGGAATTGGAAAACAATTGATATATTACTCAGGAAAACAATCAGCAGATAAACTGATAATGAATATAATCATTAGTCCTATTTAGGTTTTCATGTCACAAAGCAGTGGCTAAGTCCAGTCATGATATGGATGAATAACTACTCCTGCTATAAGGTAAGTAGCCTAGCTTAGCTAAGCAGCAGTAACTGTCATCTCAGTATCTGATTTTGAAGTAATTAATATAATATAAGAGAAAGAAAGAAATGGTCAAAAAGGCCCTGGAATCATTTAGCCATTACAATAAAGGTACAGTTAGTAGCCCTTGCTGAATAAATGAATAATATAAAGAAATAACATACAAAAGGCATTTTGAAGATAATCAATGGGAAAAAGCAAGTCTGCATGCCTATATATACACATATATACACATATAATATTTAGTCAAGTAGGCAGTCCTATGAGTAACTTCCTAATATTCTGGATGTATTGTATTGACACTGGTAATGAAAATTTTCCGATGATTTCCAGTCCTAATAATTATATGCATATGTTTGCAGTGCATTTGTAGGTTCACTGCATCTGTATAGTAACTGTACACAATGTGTATATAAACAATGCAAAGTGTACAGCAAGTTTATTGTCCATTTCATTAAATATTATTGGTTGCTTGAAACTGAAACTTGGTGGGGATCACCGCTGTCTCATTGCTGGAGTAACTGCGTTTGGGGAATGTTGGAGAGCAAACTGAGAGCACGGTGAAAGCAGGTGAGGAGGGGGTGATGGAGGTGGTGCTCACTGTCGGTGGCACCATGCGGCGCCCACATGGACAGCCTGAATCCTGGATGATCCTCAGCACGTCATTACGGAAGCGCACACCTACCAGGGCGTACAGGATAGGGTTGAGGCAACAGCGGGTGTACGCCAATGTGCAGGTGATGTACTCCAACAGAAGACTGCAGAACTGCTCTGCCATTTTACGCGACAGCACCACAGTGTATGGTAGTTGGAACACAAGAAACACCACCACCAGGGCCACCATCAGCTTCAAGGTGCGCTGCCGGTGCCACACCTTCCCTCGTCGATGACTGTTCCCCTCCCACAGCACTTGAGCAATCAAAGTGTAGCATGTCACCATAATCAAGAAGGACAGGCAGAAGACAGCAATGATGGCTCCATTGGTGGCCACTTTGACTGTTCCACTCTTAATCATGCCACAGTAAGGCATCATTCCATCACCGCTGAACACATTCGACACCCCAGAGAAGAGGATTTCAGGCAGGCTGAGGAGCACCGCAACGACCCACACACCCAGAGCGGCTACCTTCCCACCTCTTAAAATCTGACTGCGCAGCCTGAGCATCTCCTGGGCTCGCGCCACCACCAAGTAGCGGTCAACACTGATGCAGGCCAGCAGCAGCAGCCCACTGTAGGTGTTGATAGCGTAGCAGGCACGCGTGGCCTTGCAGAGGGGAACGGAGAAGATCCAACCCAGGTGAGTTTCAACGGCCTGTAATGGTAGCGTGAGGAGCAGGAGGAGGTCAGCCAGTGCCAGGTGGAAGAGGAAGACATCAGTCATGGAGCGAAGCCGGAGGCGGCGGTAGAGGGCAAAGGTGGCAATCACCAGGCAGTTTCCCACCACGCCCAGCAGGAAGATGACGCAGAAAACACAAGTCTGGAACATTTTGATGGTGAACTCATGCTCACCAGCCTCACACCAATAAGACGACAGGTCACTACAACTGGGATCTGAGCTGTTGCTGATGTTCAAGAGCAAGTTGTTCAAACAGTCATGGTCTGAATCGTAATCACAGCAGAGATTGTAGTCACTGATGTTGCCTGCCATTGCTGGTGGGGAAACAATGAAGACTAGTAAATAATTTATCTTGCAATAAAAAAAAAAAACTCCCTTGATTAAAATGTCTACCCATCTCTGCAACTTCAAGTCAATGTCATCAACTTTTCTCTTTATTATTTTAAAGAGGTACCTACATTTAAGAAGTATTGCATTGAACATTAGTGTATGCTAAAAAATTTACTGCAGATAAACTGATTGGAAACTGGATCATCACTTACATTGAAAGTGCGTTAGGGAGGGATCTCTCAATGACTAATATAAACAGGAAGGAAATCTTTCATCAGCATATTTTTTAATGATAGGGCTGCACAATTAATTTAAAATATTATTATTTATATTATACAGGACCTGCAATCTTCTTGATAAAAAGGTAAAACGTGTGACAACGTACCATTATAAATGTATTATAAATACATAGTGGTGCTACAGAGATGTCCTGGCCTACATCATTTCATCATCATCATCTTTATATTTTTTTCAGTAAAAATGAAATGCAAAAATTCCCCATTCTGACTAAAATTGTGGCTCAAATTGCAATGTCAAAATAATGGAAATATGATTATTTTTGCATATCTGACGATTCATTTCAATCAGAATGTGATCCAATTATTGTCTAATAACAATTTATAAGTTTATGGAAGTAGACAGTAGTCTATCACTGTGGCTAGCACTGAGTGTTAATCATGAGTCATTCTGGGCTTCTGCTAAATGTCATGGTGAGATTTACATGAGGACAAACTATTGCTCAAAAATATCTAGTTTTCCTATGAACATAGAGCCTGGGGTAGATTTTCAGCATATATACTGTCCTTCACACAGCGATTTAAGGAAATACTGAGCTCCTCTACAATCAGGTTGAAAGTAAGAGACCTGCAAAAAGATACCCCAGTATGAGTAAGCCGCAGCAATATTTTAGTCACAGTGCACCAGGTTGCGTGACACTGGCATCAGGTCGTTGGATAGGGGAAACCGTGGGCAGCTCAAAGGTCTACAGATCAATTAGTGTCGCGTGCTAACAGCCTTTATAAGCTACTTCTACATCTACATCTTTTTATCATTTCCTCTCTGTGACTCTGTTGCTGCTGAGGCTACACACAATGTTAAATTCTGCTCTTTCTACTTAACTTAAATGGTGGAGGCAGCCATTAAGGAGCTTCCCTTAAAAGGTAAGAGGAATAGAGCAGTGCTGGGTGATTTTAGTCTGATTTCAAATTAAGTGTATTTCCTGACAAACCTAACTCTTTCTAAGAAGCTGTAAAACATGTGGAAAAAGGTGTTCTTGACAAACAGCGAGGTGTGAGTCTACATGTGATTGTAAATTATTTATATCTGTCAGTGAAGTTAAGAACAGAGAAGTCATTTTGTTTGCTGTTAAATGTGGTCTCAGCCAAAATGGAAAACATGTTTTCCAGCTTGCGTTAAATACAGGTTATGCTCTGTGACTTTACACAATTTCCCTAAAGTTAAATAATATAACAAAAACTCCTAGAATTTCAGTTCAAAATGACTCGTATTTATTTCAGTGACAGTAATTTCCGTAAGCTCCGTGTTGCAGCTGCAGTTTGTGTAAAATATTGTTGATACCATCTCCAAAATAAATAATACAGCAACTCTCTTTATTGACCTCTGGCATTTTGCATTTGATCATAAAATGTCCTGCGGCAAACTGCATTTTATTAGCTTAGATGATGATGGTTCAATGCGTTCTGTAACTCTACCTCTGTTAAGATCGATAAAGGAGTGCCACTACGGTTTATTCTCATTACACTATTATTTATACTATATGTAAATAACAGAATTCCCTATTTTCTTATTCTAATATGCCAGTGGTTCTACTCCTGCTCAGGCTCTGACTCATCAGGCTCTTTCTAATATAGACGCAGATATGCCTGAAATTCAAACTGACGATTTAAAATTTTTTTTTTTTTTTTTTTTTTTTTTAAATTCAATTAGGTTTTCTGTATAAAATTTCAGTGTCTTTTAATAGTCATTAAACTATTGATCATTCCACTGTTATTTCTGTAATTGACTATAGACACACTTTACTTTCACTCTCCCGGCTGTTAAACCAAACCTAATATTTGTGCTTTTATCACTAGCACGAAGTTTCACATATAATTTCTCTCCATGTTGCATTACTGGACGCCCCTCATGATATTCAGATTTGAATCTCTCAGTTTCAGTGATACCTCAAATCTCTCCCCTCATTTAAATGGTGTAATATGATGCTCTATAATGATTACGTGACAATCGATATCCCCTCTGTACATACCATACTTTAACAGTAGAATTGGAAAACACTGCATTTGATATCAACAAGCTTAGAGTGAAAGGCTTCTTGTATAAATGTAACGCAAATCACATGAATGACTCATATGTTGTCTCTGATTTGTGATCGACCACAACCACCACCATAGTTTTGATTCTTGGACTGACCTATCATGACAAAGACTTTCATAGTTTAAATCAGTAAGTAATGATCTATTTGTGATGGTTTCATAATTAATTACATACTTGAATGTGCACATTAATGCAGAATTGTTACTTTTAAGCTTGGTCATGGTGATAAAATGTAGGAAAGATCCTTAAATTCGTTTTAAAAAAATCTCACTTTTCTAGTTATGTCTTTTGCTGCACATCTTCTATAATGCTTTATCTACCAGTCCAGAAAAATGAAATATTTATTTAAATTTCGCAACTGTCCCTTTCTTAAATGACCTTACCTGTGCTGTCTGGAGTGTTACGCATGTCCCAAGTCCTCCTTCTGTCTCTGTTGTAGAGGTTTGTGAAGCAGGCACTCTTAAAAAGAAGCCCTGCCGCCTAAACCTGCTGACCTTGATATACCCTTGTGTTTGTTGTTTTTGTAATCCAGCAGGAGTCACTGACAGAAGTGAGAATGAAACTGTGTTGGTGGGATGGCGCGATATCTCCAAGTGAGACTGACAACCACTTTGTAGATTACTGATTCTGCCTTTTGTCTTAAAACCGATCAAGAAAAGGTTTATTTGCCTTATCTGCAAAATGTTTTTGTTACTAGTCAACAGATTATCTACCATCATCAACATCATCATCATCATGAGCAACAGTGTATAATCTTTATTGAGTCAGTTTTTGACATTTTTAATCTGCCTGTGCCTCTATTTACAAATCTATGATGAGTGCAGATTTAATTCAATGAAATACACAGAACGTGCTCAAACTCAAGCCGTAGGTTTAACTGGGGAACAAATTCTGGCTGTAACTGGTACTAAAGCTAAGTACTAAAGTTTACAACCTTTCCTTGACTTCTTTTGAGGTTTTGTGGAACAAGCAAGCCACATAAGGGCTGAACTCATCAAGCTGACCTTCCCAGAGGAGAGCATGCATAACCTAAAATCTATACAAGATCTCTATAATACAGTGTAAATAGTATAGTGAATTCTATTATGGTTTTCTGTTATTAAAAAAGAAGCTCTGTTTTACTATAAGAATCCAATTTTTAGTTTTGGATAGAGGTGTTCAACGTGACTATCTCTTAGGCCCCATGCTTGAGAAATTAGGGCTGCAACTAACCATTATTTTCATTATTGATCAATCTCTTACTGATTAATCAGTTAATTGTTTTGTCTAGAAAATATTATAATTTCCCACAGTCCATGGAGATATACTGAAATTGCTTTTATTCGACATTGCAGCTCTATGTGAAATTAATAAATTTTTTCTTAAATAATTCCTAATTTAATAGAAGACATGGGAGGTTGTCAAAAGTAGACTGTAGCCTGGAAAAGTACTGGATAGAGCTGATTTTCATTTTATGGTTATTTTATTGCATTCCGTTTGTATTTTCTTGTGTATTGTGAAAGGTTGCTCTATAGACGGGCATTGCAAATTAAGTTGAGTTATAAATGCTGTTGCTTATGGCAGTGGTTCATGCTATTTAACTGTCTGTATGAAAATTAAATAAACAATAGAGGAATGCATCATCTACATAAAAACATTGCAATCTCAGCTATAAAAAAAAAAAATCACAGGGGCCTCAATATAGATTTGTGTGGGACACCTTTATCAACCAGTTAAAAGTAGCATATTTGATAAAAACTTGAGCACAACTCAATGTTGCTTTTATTTGCATGACTGAAACTCGAGCAAAGCCGAAAAGTCAAATCAGTTCAGATTCTTGAGATTTTCAAATTTTTTCAACTAAATAATCGTTAATTCCTCAAAAAGTGTAATAAAAATAAAACTGGTCACAGTGGGTTGAGGGGGTATGATATTTTTTTCAACTGGGTTGAAAATAAATGCATCTGTCTAGTTGGTTTGAATTTGCCTGATTAACCCCTGTGCACCAATTCATACTGCAAGCACGTCTGATCACTGCAGAGACGTTAACGACAACAAGCATCAAACCACAGTCTTTGCTTCAGACCATGTACTGTACGTGTTGCACTGAATTGTTTTCAGTGTCGAACTGTTGGTACATTGAAAGCTGGGCTGAGATGTTGACAATCCTTGATCCACACTGTGGTTTTGTAATTTCTACCGTCCCCACTTGTTTGTATATGTGGTTATAGCAAATTGATGTGAAACTAGTGACTGACAATTCAACCTGTGAACGTTTAGGTTGAATATTCATTGGTTACTTTTTTTGTAAGGCAATTCACCTCTTAATCAGATTTTTTTTTTTTTTTTTTTTTTTTTTTTTTTTATTACTTTGAGGTCTTTTGTTTTTGAAAAGAAAACAATGACTTCAGAAAAACCAATGGATTTCCCCCAGTTTTTTTTTTACAAACACCTTGAAAGGTGTGCAATGACCTTTTATGACTTGCAATCAAACAATAATTTGAAATTTATTTTATTCAAACCTTTGCTTAAAGATGATTTTGAAAATATTTATACATGCTCGTAACAACATGGTTTATAAAAAGGGTTTTTAAAGGTCAAATGATTAATTAATGCTTTACAAATAGCTAAAACACTTAATTATTTCTGAATCATAATAGGGTCTGCATATACAGATGTCAGTAAATCATTAAGACCATTAGTTACATTAGTGATTACGTGAAGCACCTTCTGTTCTGTTTTTCTGTATGAAATGTGCTGCACAAACAAACTTCCCTATAAATTGGGGCAACAATTATTATTGTTATTATTATTAACAATTATGATTTAATAATTAATTTCAATACCAATATATTATATATACATATATAGTATTTATGAAAGAGTAACATTTTAATCTGTTATTATATCATAATAATTATTATTATGTAACTATCATTTTGCTTGTTTTTGATTTACCACTGTACTGTGCAGCAATATACACAAGTGAAGCCTTCATTTAAATAAAAACAGTAAGTGCAAGGCCCATTGAAGGTATTTTCAAAAAGGTGAAAAATAATTTTTAATCAGTAAACTAGAAAAAAATAAACAGTATAGGTTATGAGGCACGGTTCAAATCAGGTGATGGAAATTTACAGAGCTTAATAGTCAAGGGGACTCTTTTCAAGCACTGTTATTGTGAGAGGCCGATTTTTACAGCTACATGATGTAGGTAAAACAATACAGCTATAAATTAAATTATTGTTTGTTTTATTTCTGCAATTAAATTTTTTTCCAGGAGCAGTTTTCCTTCAGGATATCTTATCTTATTTAGTGCACAATCAGCATTAAGTTTGCATTCTTCATTAAAAAGTAAATATGCAGCAAGTTTAAGCGTCTTAATATTTGACTGTGTGATTCTGAAACAAGATGAGCTGAAGGTGTGAAGAGAGGAGACACCCTATCTGGGTTTGGGCAGATGGTGTGAAAATGAAATGTGTTTCAGATCATTGTACTGTGGGTGACAACAAATGACTAGCTGCTGATTTACTTATTCTAACCACTGCAGGGCAAATTAAAACCAGTTTAACAACAACACATCTCACAAGTTGTGTGCTACAACTACAAATCACATATTTTCTTGATTTTCAAATTGAAAACAAGTAAATAAAACTCAGGGTTCTTGAAAACCAATTAAATTCGAGAACCTAGTTTCTTCAAATTCAAGGACCCATCATGTCACAGTTTGAGATTTGGATCCAAGTTAAATACTGTGACAAGACTAAAGGGAAGAAGCTCACAGACATTGACAAAAAGAGAGAGAGGCTTGTGGTGTTTTGCACACATGTAGACGGCAGAAAAAGTTACATTTCTATTTTTGATCAAAATATATGAATTCAAGCACTTTCCAATGACTCATGTCTATTTATACCTATTTTCAAAAACTTTCAACACATTAATTTTTTATTTTTTTTCAAATTCACAAACTTTCACAGACCAATGGGAACTCCTGCAGCAAACAAACATTTCTTCAAATGTTAATAACCTTTTACTTAAAACTTAAAAAATAGAATAAAAAATAAAAAGTAATCGTGGCGTTGGGCCACTTTAGTAAGTCAGTATGTAGTAACCCAGGCACAGCATTGTGGGTACATCTCTTGTGGGCCAGTTGAAGAAGTGGGTGGTTGTGTGTACTGCCTTGAAAGCACAGACCATTTCTAACAAGATGAGCTCATGACCTGACAGCGCAGTGTGCCTCTCTCTCTCTTGTTTAAAATCAGTCTAGCTCATCCAGCCGTGGATCTCTCTCTCTCCCTGCAATAAACTTAAACAAATGATACTCAAACAAGATGGTGTTTTTCATTACACAGAATTAAAATACCATTGTTGCATGGATGAATTATTGGATATACTGCTCTACACTATCCACAGATCTGTAGAAAAAAAAAGGCCCCAACAATGCATGCAGCTGTATCTATCACTAATTATTCATTGCCAACTCAAAACTGTTGTAGTGCTCTATATTTATACTGTAGCTTCACACAGAAACCCTGACACTGCTGAGTTGGTGACTGTGATCTTAGTTTGGAGAAGTACTTTGAGGAAGTCTGTTTGTACCTACACTGTAAAATGTTTTCGCCGTTAAAAAACAGTAAACAACTGGAAAAAGGGTTGCCATTATTTTACTGTAAAATTAAAAGTACCATGCTGTTGCTGGTATTTACAGTTTGCTACAGTTTTTGTAAATACAGCAAAAACTTGTTATTTTCTACATTTACAGTAAAATACTGATGAAGGATTGGCAGTTTATTACTGTTTATTTACACTTTTTTCACAAGAGCTATATTTGCAGATTTTTACCATAAACTGTAGTACATATATCAAACATGCTGCAGTATAACTGCCAACAAAAAGAACTACATTTTTTTCCCCCTAAACTTTATGAGTTGATAAATTATTCCTTGGCAGTCTTGCTATAAAACTATATTCTAACACATTGAATAAACGTGGTCTTTGAAATTGCAACTTCAAATTTTAAGACAAATAATACTAAAATACTCAAAGTGTCTTTTCAAACCACATCTCTCTTTATTAAACTTGTGAAAACACAACGTGCAAATAAACCAAAATTTCAGTCATTTAAAAAAGATCTCGTACAAGTGTTGTAGTCTGAATGAACATTAAACACTGAACGCAAATAAACACAAGAAATATTATCAAAAATAATCAAGTGGTTCTCTAACATAAGCTGTCGTACTGTATATGTATATTTATAAGGATTGTATGAGGGAGCAGTTCAAGGAGTGAATGAGTGGCCAAGTGAACTGGAAAAAAAAAAAAAAAAAAGAGCGTGGCTAAGACACTAACAGTGTGTGTGAGTGAGTGTGTGAACTGACTTATGTAGAGTCTCACTCAAAGTCCTTAATTTCTTTAGTAGACTGGAGACACAAGGGTTGACTGATGCCATCTTTTTCTGGGTGACCTTCCCCAGACTTTGACCTGATTTTTCCCCATGAATGGCCTGAAAAACAAGAGTGTGTATTCAGGTGGAGAAATAGAAACGTGTACTTTCATGGTGCAGATTAAGTAATAGTATATTTGGAAGTAATAGTTTCACCTTGATTAGTGTCAGAAAAGCTTCCTTAACATGCTCCAGTAATCAGATGTTTTAGGCAGCTTGTATGTAACATGTGAGACAAAACTCAACAAACACAAGGTCAACATGATCAAAGCTACAGTACCAGTTGAAGGATGTAAGCATCTCACCTTTGAATGAATTCCAGTGTGCATGCAGGGTCATCTTGGGACTGAAGATTGAAGTTGTAGTGGGTAGAAAAGACTGCAGCGAGCGAGGTCAGCTGGTTTGGTGCCCTCACAAAAAGGTCATGGCCCTCAGTGCTGATCATGAAGTGGTAAATACACCTTCCTGGTGTTTCACCTGAAATTTGACAAAGAAGTCTTGGGAGTCCTGTTCTTTTTCCTATACACATTATAAGGTGTTATGATATAGAACTAAACCGCGTTGAATAGCCACATTATTTCTGCTCTGTTCAGTGTATTAATAGTGGAAGTAACGTATGATGACAGTTTAGCTAGCTTGCTAACATTAGCAAACAAGCTCCCAGTCAATTCAGTCCCGACAGTAAAGTAACGTTATATAAATAAAATCAGCAGCGTCCTTTGGAGACGAGCACTTAGCAGATGCTAACACAAAATAAAGTAAGATGAAACTCACCCTGTAGTTTGGAGGATCAGGATCAGAGTCCAGCTCTCTCTCTGTCACACCATGAAACTGCCAGTGAAACGGGTGATAGAAAGTTACCATTACAGTGTTACTAACGTTTTCAGATCACAACAGAAGGATTTTTTTTTACCACTTAGCAACTGTACAGCTGTACATTGAAGTAGCTAACGTTAGCTGACAAAGTACACAGTTTGTTTGTGTTGATTAAAGTAGCTTAAAGACTAACATTACAAGTAAAATAACTTGTCTTGTTTAATGGCATTCTACTAGATAATCAATACAACTTGATTCGAAATGTGATGTATTTTGCCTATGCTAACAAGCAGGGAAAAAAGGCACTCACCTATTCATTTGAAGGATGAAGATGGGTGAAAAAAGTCAAACTGCATTGTCCAGTCAAACGTGTCTCCCTTTTTCCCAAAATGCATTGCAAAAAATACTGTAAATTACTGTTTTCTTTCCTCCAAGCAATAATACTGTAAAATGCTGTTTTAAAAGTGTTTCAGGAGAAAAAATTTATAGTAATATACTGCATTTAAAGATAACAGGATTGCACTGTTGAAATTTCCCTGTAAAGTTACAGGAATTTGTTACTGTGTACAGAATAATGCTGTGATAATATGCAAATCATGATCAGTCAAAAAGTATTTCCCTTTTTACTGCAGTTTCAAAAGCCTAAGATCTGTTTAAGGAGGGGTTCTCTCTCAGTATGTCACGTGTATTTTTAGTGGAGCAAACTGTAGTGGTTTATTTGATGTGTGGGTATGTTATAGTTAGCGTGATGTCTGTTTTAAGTCATTTTGATCATCTCGCCTGCAGTCTTTGTGTGTTTTTATAAGATGGTAAATCATAAAGAAATCTGACTCTAGCTGTGACACATCCAACACATTTGAAGATGCCTAATAAAATACATCAATGTGAATATCAGCAATAATAATTCAATTTTAATTTATTCACACGAAGAAATGTGTCTGTCCTGATTTTTTTTTTTTTTTTTACACAATGTTGTGCACTGTCATAAAATACAAAATATATATATATATATATATTTTTATAGCTCCTACAAAAAAAAAAAGAAAGAAAAAAATGGATAGACAATTTACTATATCTTCTATTGACACACTATGATATGGGGTATGGTTATGATGTTATTTGGAGGATACACATCCTCGAGTGGCCATTCTGAATTCGAGCAATGTCCCTGAATGTCTTTCAACACGCAACGAACCCCTGAATGAGCACGGCTTCCTGTCTGCACAGGCTAAGGTGGCTACACAAGCCATTACAAACGCCTGCGATCCTGGCCATTAAAAAAAAACAACACACAGGAAGTTGTTGTTGTCTGTATGAAGTAAATACATACATACATTCATGCATACAATTTGTCATATTTTTTTGCCCTGAATTTGCATGAATCAGTATGAAATTTTTCATAAAAATACAGGAAGTGTGTTGACTGTTTCAGAGGGTAGTTTGTGACTGTATTGTTGTAGAGCTTTGTGTGACAGATTCTGTTTGTGTGTTTTAGAGGGTTTGACTCTGTCATGCTGCACCAACTTCCTGACTCCAGCAATGTGTCCATTACTGGCACCAAATGAAGGAGGAAATCCCTTAAAAGTGTTTTCACTGGCTATCTGAAGAGGAGCAGGAAACCACACACACACACACACACACACACACACACACACTAGGAGATATATCACTGTAAAATCGTGTGTTTATATAGAGTGAGGACATACCAGAACTTCCATTAATTTACTACACAGAGTGTCGACTTTGTTTTGGGGGTTTTTTCCCCCCATCAACCCCTGTTTTTTTTTGGTTAAAATAAATGAAGGATAAGCCTGGAGTCAGCAAATCAAATGAAAGGATCAAAATCCAGTGTGCTAGTCAGTCTCACAATATGTCTGTGGCTCTCAAAGCTCATTGGTTCCTACTGCAGATATTAAAAAAAAGTGCTAGTGAATGTTCAGATGAAGGAACATGTCACTCAGTGCAACAGTGTGGCTCACTGATGTGTTTTTAATAGTTTTATGAAATAGAAATGTTAAAATGCTGATATACTTTTAATTACAAAGTGCACATATTGAACATTGTGAATTAAAGATGCAAAACAACAATTATTTTCCAAGCAAAAATGCCAAATATTCTTTGGTTCCAGTTTCTCAAATGTTATCGACAACCCTGTCTTGGATGCGTTATCAGTCTCCATGATTACCAATAATTGGTATAAGCCCTCAAAATACTATATCAGTTGATCCCTAGTAGATTAACTTCACCACCAATGACCAGAGCTGTTCACTAATAATTTCTAACAGCTGCAAAGATTGATCAATTAGTCAATGTAAAAACAATTCATTTGATGTCATCACCTTTTCTGATGTTTTGTAAACCAGTTGATTAAGCAATAAAATGATTTGCAGATTACTCCATGCACTAACTAGTAGTCTAACAATGACCGAATCAACTGAGTAATATGAAGTTTATGAAGGGCGTTACAGATGTCAGACGTAAAAGAAGAAAACTTTTCTGAGACCAATTGATGTCGTAATTTTAAAGTAAAAAAAAGAAAAAGAAAAAAGGAATACAGTTTCTAATTATGCAAGATAAAGTGTTAGCATAGGCCTCAGTTTGTGTTTATTCGAAACATAAAATCTATTTATTCTAAATCAATCACCAGAAAATTAACTAGAAATGATTTTAGTAAATGAGCAAGGAATTTTAAGGTTTAGGGAATTTTTAAGATAAAAATTTTGTGACATTTTTCAGGCCAAATGATAAATCAAAAACAATGCTCTGAAGATTCATTGATAATTAAAATAATCATTAACCCAAATTTGCTCCTCCTTTCTCTTTCTTCATCCTCCATCTTCACACATTCATTAGTGATTATCTGTTCCCCTCCCTCATCCTGTTTATCTGGTATATTTCACCGTCACTGGAGCACGAACACTCTCACTCGTGCGTGCACACACACAGTCAACAGTGCTGAGATTAAGAGGGCTGGGCTTCCTTCCAGTCAGCTCTCAGGACTTGAGCTTCATTATTACATCTAAGGTCACAGACCAGCCTCGCAGGTTACTGCTGCTCCCCTCGTCGCTGTCCACCATGATCCTGTACCTGCTCTTCCTTCTCCTCATCATAGGTATTTATCTGACTTCACACACATACATTTCTTTTTACATGGGCTTTAGGTTAATGTTTTACTCTTTTCTCTTGGAATTTCCTGTTTTGATTTTTTTTTCCTTTTTGGGTTTCCTGCATGGTTCCATGAGCGTCCATTGTTCTACATTTTTGGAGCAGCAATCAAAAAGCTGGTGTGAAAGTCTTTCTTTTAAAATGGACTGGAATTTTAAAATGTAATGTTAAAGAGCTTATTTTTAATGTGTGTATTCAGGTATTGAGGAATCACAGACAGCCAACATGACAGAAGAGTTGGGCAAAGTTGAGAGGAACCAAACATTCACTGTGTCCACCAAGTATAACAGTAAGTTATTTACAGAAGCTGGAGACAGTGAACTTTAAAAAAAAATGACTAACAATTAATCAATTATCAAAATTGTTGCGTAATTCAATTTCAGTTGCTCATATTGGTGTTTAGGTCTGCAACTAACAATTAATTTTTATTATCGATTAATTGTTTAGTCAGGAAATGCCCATCATAACTTGGCAGAGCCAAAAGGTGACATCTTCAAATGTCTAATTTAGAATGATATATGACAGAGATAAGCAGCAGATCTTCCTGAAATCTGTGAATATTTGGCAGCTATTTCTGCTTTTAAAATGACTGAATTATTTTCTGCTCTGCTGGTATTTGGAATGTTTTGACATGGCATCATTGGGCCTTGTACCAAAATATTTTCATATCATCATCAAAAAGCTTTTCCCCTTTTTTCAGGGCTACCACAGTGTTCACCAAATTAAATCTAATATTTTACTTTAACCTTGTTGATACCACATAGAATGAAATTTAATACCTTTCCCACTGGAAAAAAATATGATGGAAAACCAGTAGCAACAAAGGCCTAGAATTATTTACTGGCATCTACACTCAGTAGGCAGTTTATCATGTCCACCAAGCTAAAACTAGTGCAGTCTAATACAATATAATCATCATCTTAGAGGCTGTAGTGGTGTTGAATTGTAATGTGTTAAACTGACAGGTGTTTCTATTATTTTGTCCATTTACATTTATATCAGTCGGGGACAGCTAAATGTCAGAAAGACCTCTCTGTATAATGCAACACAGCTCAAAAACAGCATAGACAGCAGCTTCCAAAATGATCATATTGGATTAGACTGCATTAGTTTTGATCTATATCAGTATACTAAAGCACTTCCCTTTTTTAAAACAACCAAACAACCTGCATGCACAATATACTGATTACAGTCTCCCACATTCATGTGACAAAATGTACTTTCTGCCAAAATATCTGATCTTGCAGAACATTATTTCACTTTTTTATGGTTCTGCTTAGTCTGGTTAAATCCAGGAAAAGTCACAGTGACTTCAACCTAGGGGTGGGCGATATGACGATATTAGATCGTGAAGGATTACAACGTGAAGACGATCTTTCAAACTGCAGAGATCGTGGGATCGTCTAGGGCACATTCTATAAATTGCAGTTCTATGCTGATGCACCGACGCACCAGACGTATTGACGTCGTCCACCTGACCGACCAATCATAGTGAATTACGGGCAGTGACGCGCTTTCCTACCCGCCTCCTTGTTTGTGTGTGTAGCGGTAGCACATGGAGAGCGATGGTTGAAAGCCAAACGGTGTTGGTCGCTAAAAAAAAATTCCACCTCCATTATATAGAATTGGTTTGGATTTTCCGCAACTGAACAAGCGCAAGCAAATGTAATCTGCAAAGTTTGCACAGAAACCGTTCGCACGTCGGGCGGTAACACGACGAACCTGTTTAATCATCTGAAGAGGAAGCCCTAAAGCACTAGCACTAGCAACTGCTGCACTAAAAGAGATAACCACAGTCACTTTAGTTTGTATTTTTGCGTTTCAATAAACTATTTAGTGTTTTGATAAATAAATCCTGTTGTACTGACTGTCAGTAATGTCTTTGATTGATATTTTACTTTCTGTTACTTTTGCAAGAGTGCACTTTATTAGACTGTTGTTGTTGTTTACCTTAAACTTTACGTTGTTTGCACATGCAGGCAAAACTGCGACTATTTGAAATAAAATCTGTTAAGAAAGGTTCTTTGGTCTACATTGTCTGTTTTTCTTTTTCCAATTTAAGATCGTGATAAAATCGAAATCGTGATTTTATTTTTAAAAAATCGTGATATGATATTTTTGCCATATCGCCCACCCCTACTTCAACCTGTGTATTTACACTGAACCAAAACCACCATCTTTGCCTAAACTTAAGCAAGGAGCTCTTGTTGTCTAAACCACAGACTGGACTCTGAATGTGAACCTGGTTTCCACCTCAATCAGCTCCTGGCGAGTCCACAGCGTTTAATAAATTTAGCTTCATTCATTCATTCATTGAAAAAAGAAATCTGTTTCCTTTGAACATTAACCAGCCAGAGATTATGTTTCCTACAAACATTTGCTGTTGCAGTTTAAATCAGGAGACAAGGTTTGGATGTGACAACCATAAATATAAGTAGGTGATTTGTCATATATACTGCGTGTTACAACAGACGATGATACTGGTCAGAGACCTGCATAAAGAGCCTGAGGCAGCATAAGGTGCTGAAACATGTCAATAAAATTAATCTTAAAAAAAAAAAAAAAAAAAAAAGGGAAATTAAAATTAGCGATAATGGTGATTGGTGAATGGTGAATATTTCTCTCTTCATTAAATTCTTATTTTAGTTCTTTTTGGTGTCATATTTTATGTCCAAAATCATTCAGATTTAAGCATTATGAAATCAAACAAATGTTTCTTTTTTCCCCTCTGTGGAAAAATATCAGTACATTACATTTTTTTTATTAATCATTTTGTCTATGATACATCTAAATATCCATCCCAGTTTTATTATTTGATTATCAAAATAGTTGCTCGTTATTCTCTTCCTGAACATCCAGTCAATTAATTGAGTAATCATTTTGGCTGTAACCTCATTTGTAAATTTTAAGTACAAGAAATTGGTGAAAGCTACGAATTCTCTTATTTATTCACTAAACATGAAGAATATTGCTTGAATAAAGTGAATACATTTTTTTCCTGCAGGTACAATGACACCAGGCAACGTGACATCCAGTTTGTACAGAGATGAGAAGAGCCAGATTGAAGACGAACTGCTGAACAATCAAACATCCACAGTTATCACAGAGGATGATGGTGAGTACTCATACTTATCAGTCTTAAATTTCCTGTGTGAAAGTAATTTCTCATTATGCAGCTGAAACACTATCAGACTATGGTTATGTATCAGTAAGAGCCAACTTTAAGAAACATGCACAACCAGGCCAATAACTCAGCTTTATGAAATCTGAGTAAACTCAAAGACCCTGTCCATTGTCCGCAGCAGATCACAGGAAACCTAAGAAATGTTTCATCCATTTTACACAGCAACACCCTGGATAAAGTATTTACAAGTGTTTTTCCTTTTCTTTACAGAGACGTTTCAGGACCAGGAAAGTAGGTCTCCCCACGAACACTGCCAACAGGACCTGCTGGTGCAGTACAGTCACAGCTATTGTGGAGCAGCTTTTCAAAAGGAAATGCTGACAATCAGCACAGACAACTGGTGTCTCCTGGAAAGTATTACCAAGTACGGCACACTGAGTATTTCCAGAATTAAGTGTTTTGCTTTTACAATCCTGTTTTCTTTGTCTCTGCTTTTGATTAATTCTTTAACACTCTTATTTCCCTGTGTTGTTTTTAACAGAATTTCTATCCTTATTCAAGTCAACTCAGTTCAGTTTTATTTATACACCCAAGCCCAAATTTAAAATCTTGCAATGCAATGCAATGCAGTATTACAAATAAATGCATTAGTTTCTCTGAATCAAAAATTTCCACTGCTGCAGAAAGTAAATCAGTTGATACAATCAGAGTTGATGTTACACAATACAACACGTGGAGCTGCAACGATTGGTTGACTCAATCAATTAGTCAATCGGCAGATATAATAAGAAATAATTATTAGCAACAATATTGATATCTGATTAATTGTTTGAGTCAGTCTTCAAGCAAAAACACCAAATATTTTATTTGTTTCCTCTCCTGGCTGTGGATTATAACAAATTGCATGTCTTTGAATTTGTTTTGATTGTGGGACTAAAAACACCATGGGATCTAAGAAAATGTGATGGACATATTTCACTGTTCTCTGGTGTTTTATTGACCAAACGATTCCTCCATTAAACAAGAAAATAAATCAACAAAAAACATAATTTGTCACTGACTTCCAAAACAAATAATATGAGTGTTTTCTGAATTGACAACATGGTTAGTAGGTTACAACTTAAATCTGGGTCACTCATACCACAGAGACCAGACTCAGTTATATTAATCCTAAAACTGTTCAGATGCCAAGTCAGACAGGTCATCTGGAAGTACCAATTTTCCATTTGTGGAGGACAACAACCACAAACCACATTTAGTTTGTAGACTTGGTGACAGGATCCCATTTACATCTAATGTACCTTCCCTTTTTGATAAAAGTGTAGGCTGAATGACAGAAAAATAAATGAATTTAGTTTTTTGCAATTTTTGGTTTATAAAATGTCAGAAAATTGCCAGAAAATGACTTCAGATGTCTAGTTTTGCCCAAAATCCCAAAGATATTCAGTTTGCAATCAAATAAAACTAAACTAATTATATTGAAGAGCAGGAGCAAGTATATTAAAATGATTCAAATGATTAAACAATTATCAAAATAGTTGATGATCAATTTTCTGTCACAGACTAATCGATTGATCAAACAGCACCTATGCATGTATCAAATACATGACTTACAGACATGCTTGGCATAGAAAAAAAACTAGTAAGAGTGGGAACACTATTAATTAGTCATTTAAGATCATTACTCATCAGACAGCACAGCTTCAAAGAAACAGGCAACAAGCAGCTTCTTTCAGCCCACAGTCAACGGGAAGCTTCAGTCAAACTCGAACTAATATAGACAAACAGCAGTAACACAACTGATCAAGATACAGTACAACCTCCATGACATCAACAGCAACAAGTTAAACAGAGACAAAGCCACGGCGGGACATTTAAAAACTAGGAAATTAACCAGTATGCAGACAGACAGATAGAGAGAGAGAGAGACAGCCAAACAGACAGACAGAGAGAGAGACAGTGGTTGTTTCTGACTCACATTTGGCGTCGAAGTGCGTGTTTGTTTTCTGTCATCAAGGCGAAACGTCCATGTCCGTTATTATCAAGCTAACCGAGCCTAGCTAACTTTCCCGACTGTTTCATCAAACTTATTTTCTACCGTTTGTCGTGAGGACACAGTTCGACCAGTTTGCTTCACAATTAATTCCAGAGTTACTCTCCGTCCGCTAGTTGGCAGCGGGTGACAAAGGCCGCATGATAACGATTTAATATAACGTTTTCAAAATTAACTTCACCTGCTCCCTATTCGTTTTAGTTGACGTGACGTGATAAATGGGCGCGACTAGACTCTGCAATACCCTTTTTGACCACACAGAGTCGCATTCGCCAGCCGTTACAACCCAGAGGGGTGCAGCAACAACAAGGACAATGATGATGATGGTAACAATAACAATGGATTTAATAATAATGTAATGAATAAAATAATAACTTAGTTAATTAATTAATTAGTATTAATTAAGTAATAAATCAATCAATAAGAACACAAGTCTACAACAAAAAAAAGTTAGGCTACATATGCGTCAGAATAGGAACATAATCAATAGACTACAAAAAATAAATAAAATAAAATACATACAAGGTATGGTAATAATAACCAAGAGTGATGTTGTGTGCATGGTTATTGAGATTCTCACCCTTGACAGGAATCTGATGATCTGATGCAACACTGATAATGAATTTAGTTAAACCAAAGAATCACAAAAAATTAGATTCTGTCTCCCTGCTGAGTTTATTTCTGTAAAAAAAACTACAATGTCCGGCTGTTTTAGGAAAAATATCATCAGCCTTATCTTTTACAGTTTTTTTCAATCGCTAACAAGCGCTTACCCATACTTCAGATACTTTTTCTAAACTCTTAACACAGACTCACACCTACAAAACACAATTGGCCAAATGGATAATTTTCTTCTCAAAAACACATTTTGTTAAATATATACTAACTCTTCATTTCAAAATAGAACACATCTTTCTCTGCACACACTAACTTTACCAAAACACTGGAAATCTGACTCAAAATGAAATTATTCTGTCAAAGAATAACACTTGTTTTCACTTCACAAGCTACATGCAGTCAATCAAAGTACACCAGGTTTCAAAATACTGGCTATTGTTGACATTACAAAAACTGCATAGACTTTTAAGTTTCAGTTTTACAGGTATTTGCATGCAAAACATGCAATCCACCATTTTTACACTAAATTTCTTGGTTGGGAACTGTATGTCCACATGTAATGTTCACATTCAAAAGCATTCCAGTAAAAAGCAAATCAGTTTTTTTTTCCTTTACTGTTTACTACAGGAGCACTCTTTCACCAGCCTCTCTTAGTGAAAGACCGTGGTTGATTACATGGTCAATGATAGTGGCACGAATTTCATCACTGACTACTGTTCTTGCAGCCCTTGGAATGCCACCACAACGCATTCTTACACCTCTACCTTGCCCTCTCCTTGGGCCTGATCTTCTCCCTGGCCCTGCTCCTCTCACTGCACCTGCTCCTCTCACTGCATCTCTCACTGCTCCTGCACCTCTCACTGCTCCTCTCACTGCTCCTCTCACTGCATCTCTCACTGCTCCTGCACCTCTCACTGCTCCTCTCACTGCTCCTCTCACTGCATCTCTCACTGCTCCTGCACCTCTCACTGCTCCTCTCACTGCTCCTCTCACTGCATCTCTCACTGCTCCTGCACCTCTCACTGCTCCTCTCACTGCTCCTCTCACTGCATCTCTCACTGCACCTGCTCCTCTCACTGCATCTCTCACTGGGCCTGCTCTTCTCCCTGGGCCCCTTGCTCTTACTCTTCCTCATCCAGACATTACAGTGTTTGTCTTTTTCTGTTTCTGTTTCCAAAAACATCACTCCTCAAAGTCCTCCTTTTACTGTATAAGTGTCAATGTAATAGAAAAAAGAATAACCCCTGCCACTGAGTCTAAGCCGGACTGGAATCAGCTGTGGTTGGCCCAGTTTACCCAACATAAATCAGCTGTGTGTCAATTATTCAATTGTTTGTTTATTATCAGCTGAGATATATTGTTTTTGAACTGATATCATTGCAGAAGCAGAGGTTTTTATACTGTATCTAAGGTTTGGAATATTGTTTTTGCTATTGTGGGATGTTGTGTGTCAACATTCGTAAATAATACAAAAACAATCCATAATTTTGTTGGGAGGTATAGCTTGTCTGTTAAGAAAATGTAAGCATTGTGGAAATGTGTTCACTGACTGCATATTGTGTGAAAACGACATGAAATGTGTGAATGGTATGGCCACAAAACGATGCTGTGCTAATTGTGTTTAGAGTTTTGACAATGTGACAACTGGTTGGACAAACGCTTGTTAGCAACTGAAAAAAACTGTAAATGGTGAAGCTGTCAAAAGCTGAGAATGTGTGAAAGACAATGCTGCAGCCTGAGTCTGTGCCTCTACCACCACAGAGTAAGTGCAGCTTCAAATGTGTGTGAGGGTCTCTTCCTCCAGCCCACCCTTCCGCAGCCTCAATCATTTCTGCTAAGTTTTTGTTAAAACCTGAAATGGTTTAACCACAAGTCTCAGTTTTAATTACAGGCAGATGAGCCACACTGTTTTTGAGTGTTTCACAGTCCATCTAAAGGGTTTCACTCCAAAAGTGAGGTGTTCGGTTTCACAAAAACAACGCCTTTGTATGAAATGATTATCATGTCCTTACTGTGTCTGGACTCACCAGTAACACAGTGGTTTCTTCCTCCATTACAGACCATACAGTGAAGTAACATATTGTTTGGAGAAGCTGTCTGGTTTGGTCGGCTGCTACTATCCAAACCCCGACACTCAAGACTTCTTCCTCCACATCCACTCCTACTACTTCCAGAACTGCACCAGTGACGAGCTCCCACTTGAGGACGCGCCTCACGGGCTGGTGATGGCCCTCACGCTCATCCCTGTGAGCCTCATCCCCATCCTGGTTTATCTGGTGGTTTGGAAAAGTAAAGTCCAAGAGTGAGTCATGTTAGACTCGCACCTACAATATACCTCAACACTACATATAGAATATATAGGAGAATATGCTTCAATATATTTTTACAGGATAAAACCCATAAACAACAACTTAGAATTATAAACAATTATTGAGTGGTATCAGTCGTCTTATCTAAGTCTCCATCACAAAGTCAGGGAGCATATTTCTGAAAATGTTAAACTATTCCTTTAAGTACAATATGGTATATACATATGAATACGTCCAGGGGAGTCAGAAAGGCTCTGTACTGTATAAGAAATGAATGTGAATGTGAGGAAATAGTTCTTTTATTTGAATTTTAATGAACAGGGAGAAGGAAACTGGACAAGTTCAGATAAACATTAAAAAGGCACAATTTTTGATATTTGGTGCAGTCTGAGGTCTTTAACCCGCAGACATCAGCAGGCACTTTGCACACTACATGGCCAAAAGTATGTGGACACCCTGATGTGATTGTTCAGTATGTCATTTCAAAACCATGGAGATTAATCTGCTGCTGTGAGGGCTTTCCACCACTGACGTTTACCAGTCGATGTTCCAGTCCAGATGGGGGTTGTGGTCAGGACTCTATGCAGGCCAGTGAAGTTCTTCCACACTACACTGGGTAAACCATGTATTTATAGACCTGAATGTGTGCACAGGAAGCAGGAAAGAGCCAAACTCAAACTGTTGCCAAAATGCTGAAAGAACTCTATTGTCTAAAGTATGTTGAAGCACTCAGATTTGGAAGGGGGAAAATATACTTTACATACTGCTTGGTAAGGCTGGATGAATCACATCTTTCACTCACTGAAATATATGATATTGTGAAATATATTAATAGGTAAAAATATAAAATAAAGTATAAAAAATAAATAAAAGTCTGGAATATGTTATGTACAGTGTTTATTTCACAATATAATATAGCTTAAATGGAGACTGATACAGAAACGCAATTTCATTAATGGGGCTCTACACCTACATCAACATTTTACGTACATCTTTTTATACAGAATTTGAATTTCCTAACAATTTCACAGTGCACGTTATAATAAAGTCTGTATTATAACAATCCCCTTGTTGTACAGTAATGAGTTTAATTGACACATGGTTTGTATTTGGCACTGATGTAATATTTTAGATAGATAGATAGATAGATAGATAGATAGATAGATAGATAGATAGATAGATAGATAGATAGATAGATAGATAGATAGATAGATAGATAGATACTTTATTTATCCCCTAGGGGATATCCAAGCAAAACCACAAGCAGCATGCATTGTGAGTTACAGGAAACAAAGAAAACGCAGCAACCATCGCTGTGGTTCCTGGCAGCACTGTGTGTTTCTGTGCGTGTGTGTGAATATTTTGTCCAGTTCTGTTTAGGGCTTAAAAGTTGGTTTGAAGTTAATGTTAGAATAATGCTTAGTTGAGATGTCAGAGTCCTCACAAGTGTAGAAATGCTCTCTAATCTCTAAGCCATGTGATGCTGCTGGGTCGTAAATGGTGCTGAAGAAAAGAAGGGGAGGAGGAGGAAACATTAGCACAGAGTCTCACTCACACCACCTTTGCTTGTCCTCTGTATGCGCTGGAATGACACACACACACACAGACACACACACACACACACACACATACACAGTTTGCTTCAGCCAGGACAATGTAAACCACATTTTCCCTTTTTTTTAAAATCCTGTTTGTGCCAAGACACAATTTTATAGTGAGAAAATTGACACAGCAGACCGACAAAGCTCCATTCAAACACATCTGTTTTCATTTAACAATTTATTTGCTTTTGTTATTGGTGGTTATTGATTTAAAGGTACCCACTGATTATTGAACATATTGGCTCAGATTTGATTAACCCTATGTGTTGTTACACAAACAAGAGGTAGTGGCTGTTAACACAATCATGGTCTGTATTTCCTTCCTCACATATATCACTGAAGTGACAACACCTTTTTTTTTTTAACAGACCTCTGCAGACACAGGGGGTGATTCTCCCTGCAGAGACAGAGCATTGTTTGTCTTATCTCGCGGCCTCTGTTGACACTACATGTTCTGCTGATAGCAGCATGTTTGACATTTTACTGTATCACAAATATCTCACCGTTGAATGTAATAAACATCCCAGATTGTAGGAGCATCTTGTCTCGGGTGTATTTTGTGTGTATGTGTGGGCTTTCTTTGTCAAGTATAACGCAATCACAGTGCTCTTGTTTTCCAAAAGTCTGTAGAAAACCAAACATTACATCCATATGATGGGGTTGTTGAAAGTCTCACACCTGTAGAGATTAGCTATAAGGTCTGGCTCTCAGTGTCCCTAGCTCTTCCACTTCAACCCGGGAAAACCTTTTCTTTATGCGCAGGGACACTGTCATGTCAAAAAACAGGAAAGGGACAAACACAAACTGTTGCCACAAAGTTGGAAACACACCATTGTGTGAAACCTTTTTCTGTTTTTTTGCCCCTCAAAATGAAGCAATTCCTACTTGTGACCACTCTCTGCACACGTCTACAGAAGGAGACCAGTTCAAGATTTTTATTTTTCTGGTGATCATTTTTAGAGATCTATAAAGAGAAAAGAATGACCCACAGGTTTGGAATCACAATCAAATATCATGGTAATTCTCCAGTTGAATTAAGGGGCCTAAACCAAAGCATGAGAACCAGCCCAACAAAAACAGGCCCAGACAAAAAGCACTGGATGTGGAGAGGGGTGTCCACATACATTTGACCACATTGTGATATGAACATACTGTACTGTAAATTGCAGTAGACCTACACAGTATTGCAGTCACTGTCTATCTTGTCTCTGATCTCATCTGGAAGAATCGTCCTATTTCCGCTGACCCGTCCTCCCGCTATTTCCTGTCCTCCTTCACCTCTTCCTCTTTCTGGTCTGCCTCTTTTTCCTCTTGTCCCTTCTCCTCCTCCCATTTCTCCTGTTGCTCTTCCTTCTCTTACTGGAACACCTCTTCCTCTAATTCTTTCCAAAGATTGTCCTCCATTGTTGTTCACACCAAAGAGCAAACCTGACTTATATTTATGGTGATCGAGCTGTGATCTCTGTGTGGTCTGATTGGTTACATGTGTCTTCACATGTACATTCTGAGTTCAGGTGATTGCTAACTGAGTGTTGTGTTTCAGTGGCAGCGTTTAGCAGTTAACACACAAAGGCTTTCACTTTTGAAATGATGTGTCTAATGTAGAGAAGTGTGTTTGGTGTTTTTCAAAAAGTGTGAGGCCGAGAATGTGTGTATAGTTTTGCAAGTCTGGGCTGACATTTTGCTCCTTGTGTATCGAGTTTCAAAATCTGTGTATTATATTTGATTTTTGTGTGTACGCAATCGTAAAAAAAAATTGTAAAAGAAAAAATAATCCAGAAAATAAAAACAGAATAAAAGAACAAACCAATAAAAAAGTTTAAAACATATGAAATAAATAACATTCAATGAAAAGCCAGACTAAAAAGGTAGATCTCGAGTTTGCTTTTAAAATGATCAACATGTGATGTGTTAGTTATATATGTTTATTATTGAGGTCATGTTGTACCAGACTACATTATATTAATATGTGTTTGTAATATTCTGCCCCTCTCATGTTTGGGAAAAAAAACAAACAAACAAAAAAAAAAAAACATTAGAAACTCAAAATAATGCAGCCCGCTTCAACACCACTGCAAATGACAACCTCAGTAATAAACATGTTTTTTGAATGTTATTATTTTTTTAAAGGTTGAATTTATGGAGCTGCTGTTTAGAATTGCATTAGATTTTATGGGTGTACTTAATAAAGTGGTCATTTATTGTAAATTTTATGCCACACTGCAGCAATCCTACAGCAAACTGCACTGTGCCAGAGGACACGCTGCCACCTACTGCTTCAGATGAGACACTACAGCATGTGTGCACAAACTGTGGCACTTTGTTTCTATTTAAAGGCTGTTCTCATTCTTACATTTGTCCAAGCTTTTAAAAGATCTCCACCTACAAACATCAAACAGATCATTAACCCTATGAGTGAGAAGCCAAAACACTGACATACAATCGTACCCTCAGTGACCATTGTTTCGGGACAGATAAGGTAACATCAAACACAAAGAGGCCATTATTACAGTATCTCCACCTGTTTGAAGTGGAGCAGCAGGGGATCAGAGGGTTATAAAGGAGTCCGGTAGTCCTGGTAGTCCAGACCTGGTGCATCTGCTATGAAACAGCCATCTGGGGTTTTAAAGACAGTTTAAGAACACACAGGTCACAGATGACAACACACTGGGATTGATATTATCTGAGGTAAGTCCTGATGTCAGCAGTGGTTTTTTATGTTTCTGTATGAAGCTTTAAATGTAGCAGTGGAGGAAGTATTTGAATCTTTTTTCTTAAAGGAACAACATGAAAATACAAGTAGTAAAGAGTGGGAATGGTTGTAACATTTTTGACATTTCTGTCCGTATCTTTTAAGCCAGTGTGTTCAAAATGTAACACAAACTAGTTCCATGTGTCTGCTGTTAAATGATGTAGGTGTTAAAAGCACAGTAACTGTCCACGACAGCTACACTTAGGCAGGAACCATCACAGCCTGCAACACAAACAGAAAATGTCTGTGGGTTATTCTCAAACACAAGGAGTGAAATGTTACAATTCACCTCATAGTCCCAGTTAGTTGTAAAATATAACATTATGATATAAGGATTATGACAAAACCTTGATATTGAAGCTTTTTATTCAACACTTAAATCACTTTTTAACATAATTGGTGTGTGTGTGTGTGTGTGTGTGTGTGTGTGTGTGTGTGTGTGTGTGTGTGTGTGTGTGTTTGTAGTAAAATATGAATACTTTCTTACCTCTAGATTAGTTTTTTTCCTTCTATAATAGTCTGTGTCTGTCACAAGGTGCTACTTCCTCTCATGTGGGATAAGGCCTAAATGGGGCAGGTATAGAGTGAATCAGGTGATTCTTACTTGTTCTTGATTGGAGAAATTGGAAGTGTTACAACTGACCAGTGTTACAACCATCCCCAGTCTCTCCTACATTTTTTAAGTAAGTAGAAGTAGAAAAGTATTAGCAACAACATGTACTTTAAATATCAAAAGTAAAAGTACTCATGAGGCAATAGATAACTCCCTGATTGTACTGTATTATACTATAGTATGGGATTATTATTAGGCTACCAATAATCTATAATAATGCACTATACTTTATAGGCTGGTGATATGTAGGAAGGAAGGAAAATTATTAATTATGTTAATTATATTATATTAAATATGTACAATACTGAGCCTCAAAGCTGAGAGATACTGTAAATGTAATGGAGTAAAAAGTGTAATACTTTCCTGTGAATGTTATTAGATATGAACCTGCATGAAATGGAAATACTAGATTAAACTACTTAAACTACTACTACCATTGTAGTTAAATACAGTTCTTGAATGATTGTGATTACTGATGCACATGGATGGAGCTCATTTTGAAGACTTCATACACTGTTTAGATGTTTTTTTCACAACAATGCATCATATTTTATAAGACGATTATATGTTTTGAGTGTAGTGTAAAATCTTAATATGCAAATACAATTGTCAGATGAATGTCAGAAAAAGTGCTCAAACTGTCAGACTGTGGCCCAGATGATGCTATAGAGAGAGTCTTTTATGATACATAACAGGAAAACCACAGAAACACTGAGTGTTGGGTTGAAAAAACTTTAAAAGAGTTTTTCTGTATTGGTGTAAATGTTTGATGTCTACACACAGAACAGAATCTGTCCATCTGAAGATGTGTGGGCTGGTTTAGAGCAAGTAGGGCAGTTTTGTTTTTTAATGGATCTCATGCTCAGACAAACAAAACCTCCATATGTGAGGTAGAAATAACCCAAACACAATGGTACGTTTTTTAATTCTTATGTTTAATCACTGTCCAGGTGCTCCTGACATTAGGAGAGTTGGTAAAAACAGGTTTACTCTGCTGCACAGGTACAATGGTTGGTCATCAGTGGCTCCCCCGGATTAACAACCCAACACAAGGAACAATCTCAGGGACTTCAGCTAAACAGGAGCAGGAAATATGTAAGTAATATAACTTCAGAACTTCACTTCAAAATTTTCTATTTTATCACCTAACTTCTGTTTGTAATGTCCTAAAATCCATGTTTTTAAGAACGACAATTGACAATATTTCAACCTGTTTCCAACTGAAATCAGCTTGTTTCAATAACTTTCTACAAATGAGCAACTGGGTCTTGAGACCAGAAAGAATACGGCAAGAGGAAACGGAAAAAATGGTTTACACTTTATAATACAGTGATTCACAGTGTAATTTCATTGTGTGAATTAGGAACAAATAAAATACTGAACTGAAACTTAAATGTAGAAACAGTAGAAGAAACAAAAATAAGCGAATAACAGCTGGGCACTGTAGAGGAAAGGAGAAATAAATTAATATTTTTGTGAATACTGGGAACCTACAGAAAAAAAAAACATGTTGTGAACAACCTTTTTCTTGCTGTATAATTACAGAGGAAATATTGCAGCCTTCCTGATTCATTCTCTGACATAAACTGTGAAGAAGCACAATCCAGATAATAAAGAAAAGCACTTGTTTTTGTCTTAATGGAGCCTTGGTTTATGCTAAATATAATGCAATGATTAATGTAAAGTGAGTGAGATCAACTGATGCACTAGGCTGAATACAACTGTGTTGAAAAAGTGAACTCAGTGTAGAGAAGTGTGATTTAGTAATTGTAAAAAAAAACTGTAACAACAATCCATTGATTAAATTCTGTACTGGGTACTGTACAACTGCTACTACTACTACTACTACTACTACTACTACTACTACTACTACTAATAATAATAATAATAATAATAATGGAAATAATAATAATAATAATGATAATGATAATAATAATAATGTGTTTGTTATTTGTTTGTTTTAGCCTCAGTTTGCCTTCCGACCAGAAAAAACCTGACCTGTCACTGCCTCTGTCCAGTGGTCGGTCTCTCAACACTCTGTTTGTTGCTGCTTGTGACGTGTGCAGCACTTTCTGTCCTGTGTAAGTACAAGTTACTGAAGCTCAAAGTACAGATTAGCCAAAGTAAGTGACCACGGAACTGAATTTTGAAACAGTTCAACATCTTGTGAAATGTTTATTTATGTTCATATGGGCATCTCAGGCAAAGTGCTTTCTTGGTTTGAGTCCTCTCTCACTTGGCGCTCCTTCAATGTGTCATAGCAAGGACAAACATCCTTATCCCGTCCCCTCCCTTCTGGAGTGCCCCAAAGATTGGTTCTGGGCCCGTCCTCTTTGCAATATACACCACCTCCCTGGGTCCAATCATCCACTTGCATGGCTTCTCATATCACTGACATGCAGACGACACCCAACTATAACTTTAGGGTCCCACCAGATGACCCCACTTTCTCTCCAACATATCTGCATAGATTAAATAACGCCACTGTAAACTAAATCTCTCTAAGACTGAACTCCTAGTCATCCCAACCAATCAGTCTCTTCATCACGATATCAATATCAAAATTGGTACTTCATCCCTTATCCCAACCAAGGTCGCAAGAAACCTGGGTGTCATGTTTGATGACCAATTGTCCTTCTCTGACCGCATCTGTCAGTGCACTTCTTTAAGCAAACAGTCCCTGAACTGACTCACATGAGAAGATATCGCTCTGTTCCTCTCGCTCCTGGAAAAATACCAAAAAGCCTATTTAATAAACTAATCTTTTCAGTATAATGTGTGTTTTATAAATCAAAAACAAAATCATCTCATTACAAACAGTTATCAGTGCTGCAGTTACCTTTAGAAACACATTGTCTTTTGTTTTGAGGTAATTATTCTTTGTCTTTAACTTTCAGATACTAATGGTCAGACACAAGCCAAAATGGAAGAGTCTCTTTGATTACCAGAATATGAGTGACAGCTACCTCACGCTTACTAAAGTAAAAAATGACCTGAGAAAAGACAATGAACTCTTAAAGGAGCACAGTGGCCGGCTGGATGAACAGAACAAACTTCTCAACAGGACTTCAGCTCAACTCAAGTCCATGAATCTCGCTCTGAGTTTGGAAAGCAGTGAGTTAATGGAGCAAATTGAGAATCTGACCTATACAAACACACAGCTCACACAAGAACACAAACAACTGGTCCAGTACACGTCTGAGCAAGAGGAAAAGAAGCTGAACATGTCTGAAACCATCAAACATCTGGTCAGCTCCAACACGCAGCTGCAGGAGGAGAAACAACGGCTCTCTGAGACAAACAGCCTCCTGAGGGATGAGCTGCTTCAAGTGAAGGAGAAGAACCAGGAGCTTATGGAAATCAATGACAGGTTTCAAGGAGAAATTCAAAATCTGAGCGAAAAGAGTGGAGTTTTTTCGAAGGACGACTATGAGAAGCTTCAGAGGGAAGTGACACAGCTTCAAGAACAAAACCAGAACCTGAGCACAGTGCTGGTGAAAGGAAGGCAGGAAGCAGCGGAGCAGGAGGGAAACAGGACAAGGGAGATGGTGCAGATGATGGCAGATGTACAGTCAGTAAAGGAGGCCTACCACGCTTTAGACCTCTACTGCCCTGTGGTCAATCAGAAGACCAAAGGTACATAGAATTTATACTTTTAAATGTTAAAAGAAGCTTTGATGAAATTAAAATCACAGTGTAGAGGCACATTTTTCCATTAATACACCTGAGTTTAGGTTTACCAAAACCAACAATGAATTATTTAATCTTTCAGCAGTTTTCAATTTCCTCAAGCCCATTAGTTCCTACTGAAGATGAAATCTTTAAAAACAGGTCACAAATAGTGACAATAGTTTCATTATAGCTAAAACAACTGGTTTTCAGCAAATGTTGCTCAAGCAGGAGGAATCATTTATTAGTGTTTTCAGCAACTGATGAGTAGATAAGATAAAAATTCAATAAATAAATAATGGATACAAAATTCTACGTTAAATGATATCCTGTTCTGTTTTATGTTTGAAATTTCACTTTTAAAAAAAATGACCGTACTAGTTTATATGATGTTTAAAATTCAGGCTTGTCGTTTCCAATTCAACCTGAATGCCCAGATTACTGAGCTTCTCAAACAGCATCTCTAATTTGGCTTTTTGGCCAACTAAAAAACTATCAACTAAAAAAAAATCTCTTTTCCAGGTTCAGCTTTGAAAAGTTATTGCTCATCCATTTATTGATTGCTGACAAATAGGCTTGCAAATCTGAATCTATCTTTACTGGCCAATGCAAGCATGTAAAGAATGTGTCTTGGTGTAACCAGTAATAAAAATGTATAACAGTGAAGGTGGGATGAAATGTACAATGTAAGGTCTGCTTTGATAACAAAAAGGACAACTGCTTCACCAATACACATTTGTTTCAACTGAAGTGTGACTTTCTTCATCTTTCTCCACAGAGCGGATTTGCAAAAAGTGTCCGGACAGCTGGAGACTGTTAGAAACAAAGTGCTACTACTTCTCCTCTCGCATGCTTAGCTGGAGCTCCAGCAGAGCCTGGTGCAGGACACAAGGGGGCGACCTGCTCATCATTAACAGTGAACAAGAACAGGTAGAGGACAAAAGGAAGAGAACAAGTGACAGTTGCAAATACATTTAATAAAAAAATAAAATAAAATCAGTTAATAAGTATAATATAATCTGGAATCATCTGTTTTTCCATTTCTAGAACTTTATTTTTGACACCAGCCGGGCACTGGAGCAGTCCATCACCAGGCTGTGGATCGGGATGACTGATGCAGAGGAAGAGGACGACTGGCGCTGGGTGGATGGCAGCAAAGTTAACTCAGATGTGCAGTGAGTCAAAGCTCAGGGACACTGATAATGTCTATAGAGGGTCCTTAGGTTGATTTGTGATTACAGATTTACAGCCTGTTTCTGCTGCCACCAAGTGGCCAAAAAAATCTAGTTTAACGAAAAGTTATTTTAATGTAAACAACGAAACAGTTCAATAAATTATATGAGGGATGTCTGCACCAAAGAGGCTTTCTTAAGTAACACTATGAAACATGACTGTGATTATTGTGTTACACAGCTGCTCACATTCTTCTTGCAGGTACTGGCTGAGCAGACCAGGGATGGCGACTGAGCCTGACGACTGGAAGCTGGATGACCCTCTAGGAGAAGACTGTGGACACGTAGACACCAGTGAAAATGCACTTAAGTCCTGGATGGACGGCTCCTGTAAGAAACCTTACAGATGGATCTGTGAAAAGAACATTTAGATAATCCACGAACATCATATTGTAAATCAACCACACATTCTCTACGTATACTGTAGGAAATCATAAGAATATATATCTGCCATATATTCAACTCTGAGTTATAGAGACAGTGCACATTTTCTTTCAAAATAAAACAGTATTTAGTCTCCAGAGTCCTGTATTTCATTGAAAGGAAAGGAAAAGGAAAAGAAAAAAGGAAAGGAAATAAAGACAGTATGTGCAGAGCAATTTGTCCTTTCTTACCTTTTTATTTTCATCAAAAATACAAATTTGTATAGGTATAATAGACATTCATTTTGTCGATTCTTATTAAAGAAACATGGAATAAGGCAGATATGTGTATTTTTTATACTTTGTTGAATTTCATATTTGCACACTGCAATTGACTGAATTATAAAATTTAAATACATTTTAAAATACCGTGAGTGCAACTAAAAATATTTTGCTGTTATAGTGTTGGAAGTAAGTGCAGCCACACAACTCTCTGTACATCTCTTTCTCTGTAAAAAAAAAATCAAAGCACGTTGGCTGTATGTATGCAATAGTGAAAAGTTTGTCCCAAAATATCAGATAACTTCAGCTTAGTCGCATTTTTCTTGTGTGAAGCTGAATCAGTTGAAGGGTAACGCTGGTGCATATAAAAACCAGCAATGCATTAGTCCATCTGTAAATATTTTCTGGCTCAGTGATTTCCTAAAACAGCTGGGCACTGCAGTTTTCAGTTCCTCAAACAGGAGAGAATAGCGCATTTGTTGGGGACTATTTTCAGAAGTGAATTAATACACATTTGGTGTTCTTGTGAGTCTTTGGACAGCAGGAAGTCATGCGTGGGACTGATACAAAATAAACTACAAAGTTAGTTTTTTGACAACAATGGAGCCCTCTGGCTCAGAGGAATAAGATATATCAGGTTCTGGATATACATACTTGTTAGTGGGGCCAGCTAATTGTTGCTTTTTCTTTGTTTTGGGTTTGTTGACAATAAGAAAAAATATGGATTAGCATCAGCTTTATCCTTAATAATTGACTCAGTGACTACTCCTGCTTGGGTTTTCTTCTCCTGCACAGTTGAAAGCACAGGAATCGTATTGATCCCACCACAGTTGCTGTCAGCAACAACAGGATTGCTAACAAGAAGCATATAACATCCACAGAATAATAGGCATACCGGGGCATCTTATAAGACTCAGTGCGTAAATGTGAAGCACCGTTGTGCCTCATAACAAACTCAATCCAGAAAAGTGCAGTTTCCAAAGGATGCATTGGTTTATCCCGGTGAAGATCAGAGAGATGCTTCATGTTGTTTCTGTAGGAGGGATTGTGAAGAACTTCTTGTATCGCTTCTAGAAAGTTCTGGCGGGTGAGTTTGGTTGCATCCACCACCTTAGCAGCTCCCCGTGTTTCCAATCTCAAAACATTCTCAAACTGATCGAACAGAAGAGGAATGCCTATGATCGGCACTCCATGGTAGATGGACTCATAGATCCCATTTGTACCACCATGGGCGACAAAGGCTTTGATCTTTGGATGACCCAAGAGGTCGTTCTGGGGCATCCACTTTACCAGGAGGGTATTGTTGCCCAGATTGTTGGGGCGCTCACCAGCATGCCTCCATATGACCTTTTGAGGAATTTGGGCAAAAGCAGCAGCGATTTCGGAAGTGATTTCTAAAGGTAGACCTTTAACCAGTGTACCTAGAGACATCAGGATGAACCCATGCTCTCCTGAACTTTGAACAAACTCCTCTAGTTCTGATGATAAAGGCGCAGAAGGCTTACACTGGAAACCACCAATGTAGACGATGTTTGGCATGGTGGGTCTGGGGAATTCAAAGACAAAGTCCATCCTCATGAGCCAGATGTCTGCCCCTTGTAGGAGGTGATAGAAGTTCACATCTGGACCGAAGTACCTGTCCACCAGCCTATCATAGTGAGGGCATACTATAAACTTATCAATGCACGTGTTGAGGACATAGTGGAATGTATTTGTGATTCTTTGCACAAAGGTCATCTTATCCGATGCGGCATATCCTGAAGTTGGGACGTAGGATGTGGGAGATGGAGCGACCACAAAATGCCCTTCTCCACTAGTGATCCATCTCACGTTAAAAACAGTCGGCAGCTTAAGTTCATGGGCCACCAGAACCCCTACTGGCAATCCCGGGTCCAGAAGAACCATGTCAAAGTGCATTTCACGAATACTCTGCATTAGAGTCTTGTTCTCAAATATTTCTACACCCAACAGGCTGGCCTGTTGGTGAATTTTTGACAGCGCACTGAGCATCTCCCAGTAGAAGTTCACAAAGCTGATTAGAGATGCCCCCTCCTTCTGGATCACCAGCATCTTGACCAGAAAAGTGACAAAAAAGTCCTGCTCCTCTATGCTGATGGCTTCTGGCAGGGTGACAGTGATGGAGCGGTAATGAGGCGCATTCTCTTTGACGTACCAGCTTGTGGCTGTGCGGACCACAGTGACCTCGTGGCCCCTGGTGTGGAGGCTCTGGATCAGCAGGTTCATGTTGACCCAGTGGCTGCCATCCACCGGGAAAACCAAGATCTTTCCACCATGGACACTGGGATTTGTCAGGAGGGACACACTCATGACCAGAAGAAGAAGAAGAGAAAGTCCTGAGATGCTCCCCATGGATTATCTCTAAGGAAAAGAATAAAAGATGAAAGGTTAATGTGATCAAAATGTATCTGTTCAATGACTTAAAAGATGCCCAAAAGGAGCAACATGGGGAAGTTGGAAAAGGTTCAACCTCATACATATATACAGGGGAGCAACAATCTGCTGACAACCAAACAGACTTGTTTTAATTCCCCCGAGAAACAAAAGCACAGAGTTGTTTTCTTTTATATGAAAGTACTTCAAATAAATTGGAAGAAAAGCCGAACATCACTGTCAATCCCTTTCCAATTCTTCACAATAACACTTTAATGAGCTGCTGGCACCAGAGCAAGAAAAACAATGCTTCTAAACACATCACTGGGGAAATAAACTACTATGTTGTGCTTCCATTACAATAGCAAGAGAATATAAAGAGAAAATAATTGCCCAATGCTGAGTATATAAATGACGTTTCCAAGGCAACCGTGCACACAAGCTTCAGGCTCTTAGAGGGATTAGAAAAAGCATTCCTTCGGGCAGGGAAATAATATTCAACAACATGTGCAGAATAATTATGACATTTTTCAGACCTTTTTATGTCCGTTGGTCTTTGAATCCTGACCTGTGTATTTGTAAAATCTTGGCTACAGCCCTGGATTGGTTCTACCAGCATGACTAGGTGTCAATAAATAATTTGATAAAGAAACACAATAAGAGGCATTTTAAAGCATTTTAACACTGGGATTAATTTGTTGATCGACAGAAAATTAATCAACCACTAATTTAATAATCAAACAACCAATTGACAAAAGTCAATTTCTAAGAAAAAATGCAAAACATCTGCTGGTTCAAGGGTCTGAAATGTGAGAATTTTATTGTTTTCCTACTCTTACTGTACTCTAAAATTATTATTTGGGGGTTTTTGAAGTGTTGGTTGGACAATATACATCACCATGGACTCTTAGATGTTTCAATTTGAATTTTTCACCAATTTCTTATGTTTTACTGACTAAATGTTTAATTGATTTATTCTGAAAATTCTTATAGCCAGTCTGAAAAGCCTCCTGAAAAAACTATATATATTTCTATTTATATCTCTATTTCCAACATGTTGTTTGTGGCCAAAAAGCCCTGAAATACTGCTTTAACAGCTCAAAGTCCAGTGGAATTCATCCATTAATACTGGTGTTACTATGGTCTCTAATCTCGTCATCTGCATTCAGCAGGGACTTGCTAACAGGCTAAAAACACTTAGCGAGTTACACCCTCAAGTGTTCAGTTTCTGCCTGTTTTACTGTCGACAAAGCTAAAAGAGGAATGTAACGGTATGCACTTCTGCCCACATATCAGCCACTTCCAACAAGTTAGTGTCAGCAAAACAGAGCCTCCTGTTTTCAGTAATGTTGTGTAGGCCTTTAACTGAGTTGGTTAATGTGTTGTAGAGAAAGTAAAACTTGTGACTTACCTTAAATCCCTGAAACTTTGGAGAAATGTACTCTCTGGACAGGAGAAGCCGAGCGTCTGTGTGGACAAGAATCCAAACTCCAAACCCGCTCATTGTGTTACATAAGGAGGACAGGGTGATGGGGGAGGGGGGTTAAATAAATGGACTTCAGATGTAAGTGAGTAGTTTGAGGCGGTGGGAAACGCTTTTCCCACTGGGCCCACCCTGTAACTGTGCTGCACAGACACAGAAATGCACAGAGATATGCTCTGCTAACACACACACACACACACACACACACACACACACACACGCACACACACACACACACACACACACACACACACACACGCACATATTTTGTCTGTGTCATGGTTCACAGTAAAGAACAGATTCTCCAGCTAAAAATGATTTGACTAGAAAACTACTTTTTCCAAGAAATAAAGTTCTAAGACTCAAGTGGCTTTATTGTCAATTATTGTAAGTAAGTTCAGTGCAATAAGGAAATGTTGGACAAGTTGCAGTTTTACACAAAATGGAAGTGAGCGTTAGAAAAAACTAAATTGCAAATGTTCTGTGTTTCCATAGAATGATGTGTGCAAAAAAAAAGCTAGGTTTTCTCCTCTTGCAATGTCATTCCAAATAAATATGACGACAAGATTTCCAGCAGTTCTTGGTTGGAACTGGCTCCCTGGGGCCCTGGGACCACGACTTCAATGTGAAAAAGGTGTTTCCCTTTCACTTAAGCGAAATATTGCTTTGTTGAATAGTCTGTAAAACCACCTCATTCAAGCGTTTAAATTCTTAAAGTTTTTACAAAATTTACATTTCCATTACTCGTTTTTAAGTTTGCAATTTCAGCAGGTTAATGGAAACACACCTCGTGACATATTAGCACCTTATAAGGTTGTTACCTCTAATGTGTGAGCATATAGTTGACTATTTACACACTTAGCAGACACAGAGCAACAAGTTGTGTTTCTGAACACCTGGTGAATACAAGTTGAATACTCACTCTCCTTTTAGCTCTAATTTTGTCTCCACCAGTTCCTGAGGGCATCAGCTGACTCTTTAGCAGCTAAATTTCTTCACCAGCTAGTAGCTAACTCTCTGTCTCCTGTTTGCTGCTGGGCAGATGGTGTAAATTGGGTTTATCAGAGCTTTTTTTCACAGAAACTGCTGCCTGCTGCTAGAAAGACACTGATAATAGCACTGAGACTGAGCCAAACAGTGAAGCTTGGCCATAAAACCACAACAAAGAGGTGACCGATGCTACAGTGCTCCAGAGAGCTGAGGGGATATGCTGAGTTGGGTTATAATTCATTATAGGCAACCTGTTTCATACTGCACATACCATTTTTTTTACTTTGTTTATCTAAAAATATTGATGTAGTGCAGCCTTAAAACTTTTCCTTACTTTTCCTTGTTACATTAAATGAATAATTGACACGGAGACACAGGAACTTCAATGTGTTTGTAATATCACTGTATCTTTAAGTGACATTTGCTGAAGTGCAACAGTCATGGCAAACACATTCAGACAGTGGACTTCCTGTAAAACAAGACCTGAATAGAAACTTATGTTTAAACTGCTTCTGCTTTCACTTCATAGAGATCATGTGTCAATAAAAAGGGAACAGGTCTGAACTAATTCATGCCACTGCATTTCACTGAGAGTGTGCAAAGACATGACACAACTCAGGATATTTGACCGCTGGATTATGAAAATGTCACGTTCTTGCTCTCTGGCTGTTGCCATCCTGGTCTTTGCTGGAGGGTGGTGTCTGTGTGCAGCTAATGTTGGGGAGTTCACTCCATGCCTGCAGTTCTTCTACAGGTCCTGGCCTCCTAAAGGTCTGGAGGGGACCCCCATCTGCCAGCGTTTCAACAACCAGTATCGATTTGCCACCTTGTACAGTCGCCCACGCCGCTCTCCGTGGTTCTCAGCCTATTTATACAGAGCACCAGTAGGAAAGAGACCTTCAGCAACTTGGAAGTTTGAGCCACAGGTTAGTACTTGTTTGGTCTGATTCATAGAATTCTTAGTATTTAGAGAGGAAACAGTACAGGGAAGATATAAGTAGGTGAACAAGTCTCAAGACTCAGACTCAGACTTCAGACAGTGGACACTGGTAAACAGTACAGTGATGTTTTTAGACTGCACATAAGGAAATGAATCCCAGTAAAGGAGAACTCTATAATTTGTGTGTCCATAGTCTCTCCATGTAATGTTCATATTTTCTGGATTCGAAAGCTAGATAGAAAACGAATGGCCAAAATTATGTGGACCCGTTTCGAAACTTTAGTCCCTTATGTGATTATTCAACATGTCATCCCAAAACAATGAGCATTAACCAGCTGCTATAAAGAATTATAAGGTTTGACTCAGTCTGACTATCAGTTCATTTCAAATGTGCTGGCTGGTGTCAAGGTCAGGGGCTCTGTGCAGACCAGTCAAGTTCTTCCACAGCAAACTGGGGAAAACCATTTCCCTATGGAGCTGGTTTTGTACACAGGTGCACTGACTTGTTGAAACAGAAACACACTGTTGTCTAAAATAAAACTGTATGCTGTTGCAGTAAGGTTTGGCTTCCATCAAGCCAACCAAGGTCATGTTATCAGTGTTGTTTCTGGGGGAATGAGGACTTTAATCACTTAATTTTACATCGCATGTACACACAAATTACACATGGGTTTTTGGAGGCTTATTTTGGTACTTTTTACTCTCAAAATTAACTATTTTAAACCAAAAATATGATTTGGATTGGTTATTGATTATCTTCCTGGCAGTATCTTGAAGGCCTTGAAACAGCATTTAAACCATCATATAAAGGGAAATGATGTGAAAAAGCTAAATTAATAAAAACCCCTAAGACACATGGTTCCCAGAGGATTAATTACTCTGACTTTGGAAATCCTCTGACTTTTCCTCGAGTGTCAACACAACATTTGTGGTTGTGAGTGAAATATCTGATTATTATCGGATGGACTGCAATGAAATTTGGTTTACATCCATGTTCCCCAGAGGATTTAAACTTTTCCTTGTCCATAATTTTGGTCATATTTTGTAAAAGTCTTCCTCTGAATTGCATTAAAAAGTATAATGTCATCACTTCTTCCACCCTCCAACAAACAGTTAGCCTACCCAGGAGCTGATGGCAACATGATCCCCTTCCCTCCAGGCCCTCCGGACCAGAACGTGGTGGAGAGCCAGGCAGTGAAGCTGGACTACATCAATTCCACCTACTCTCGTGGCCACTTAAACCCCAGCCTTCACCACCAGAGCCATGAGGACCGCTCCGCCACCTTCACCCTCACTAATGTGGTCCCTCAGAAGGCAGGCTCTAATGACGGGCCCTGGGAGATCCTGGAGCAAACTGTCAACCATACCTTATCAGCCTACTGTCTTGGAGATGCTTACATAGTGACTGGCATCATCCCTTACCGGACTGACGAGCACTGGCTGAAGAATCATCGTGTGGCCGTGCCGGAGTACATGTGGTCAGCCTACTGCTGCCCAAAGTACAACAACAGTCTTCCAAAGGAACTGAAGAACACCTTCCCCACATACGCTGCTATCGGCCGCAACGACCCCAACAGCACCGAGGAGATTGTGCCAGTTAACAAGACGGCTAAGACACAGTTCAGGGGATATGATGTGAGGCAGATGCCACTGCAAACACTTGAGATGTATCTCAAGGACAGGTTCAATACTGTCGTCAGTGTTTTTTATGAGCTGTGCTCTGGATCAGACTGATCCCTCACATATACAATAATTAGATCGTTGAAGTGTTCGTGCTAATTTCATTTTATTGACTAATTATAAGTGAAAAGTCTTTTCTCAACAGGTTCTCCTAGGAAAATGACAAAATACATCATTTGACAGGTTTAGGCAGAAAAACTACTTGTTCATTAGGATTGGGAAAGATTGTGGTTATGGTAAAAAGAAACCAACACTGCAGCTCTTAGATCAATGGAGAGCCAGACTTTTCCCATCATGCACTTTCCCATCATGCAATTCTTGCAGTCAGTGAAGAGGGACTGCGGCGCCTAACTCCAAAAACTGCATCTGCCTTGAGATTTGCCTAAATTTGCATGACATCAGAGCAACTCGAGATCAGACAAAAAACGTACCATCATGCATTGTGCAGTGATCACCTGTGAATTCTGCACAGGCCTGGCTCATCTGAACCAACTAGCAGAAACTTGATCTGAAGACTTAAGATTCATCTTTACATACCACACACTAATGATTTTATCTGCCGACTGTCAACAACAACTGACCCAGACTGGAACAGACCTGGTCCAACTTGGTCCCATTAAGATCAAATCTTCATGATGGGAAAAGCAACACTTAACTCATGGAAAAAAGCTAAATAAAACTCAGTGAAATGGTTATGGTGATGCTTCCACTGCAGATTCGCAGCTGGGCATGAACCAATTAACAATACTGACCACTAGATGGTGTCCTTGTGCAATATATGCAGCTGGTGGATATGAGTTTGAGCCAGCTTCTGGTGACTGTGCACTGCAACTGGAAGGAATTTTTTCAAGTTTCATCTCAGCAGAATCCATTCCTTATTCATAAAAACATCAGACCTCACTATAGTGTGAGTCAGTTAGTCTTTTATCTTATGATTTCCTAAATAATGTATTTGAATCACACTTTAATTGACTGAAGCACTGGTGTTGGAGGCTTTCTGAAGATGAAAACATAAAAGTACATGATGGTAGAAATTATATTTGTGCTTCAAATCAAGAATATAATAGAAATAGATCAAATTAATAAAATGCAGAGATGACTCATTTTGATAAACATTAACTTGCTCCACAAGTCAGACTCGACTTCTGAAGCTTCACCAAGACAAGCTTTTTCTTTTGTAATGATGACTAAGACACACGTTTTGTCACTTCACACTTCTCATGGATTTATTGAACAGATGGTACAATAACACAGGTGCACACAGGGTTAAACATAGGTAACACTACACACCGGTTTCTCAAACTGGATTACATTGACAAAACATAATCACCAGCTTAGTATTGTTGGTGCATCTGGGGAGAGAAGAGCTTGTCCCACACCTCCACCTTCATAATGGCCCTGCCCATAGGGGACATGGTAGCTTTGATGTCCAGGTTGGGTCCCTCATACGTGATCCCACAACCATTGGCCTCCTCCCGAAGAAAGCCCTGCTGCTCTTTGTTGTAATACATCTCTTTGTACAGAGCCTCGTTGCACTCTTTGCCCTGGTTGTAGATTCCCACTGCCAGCCAGTTCTTGTACATGTTATAGTCGTAGGGCACAGAGAACATTATAGCTACTGTCTCTTTGGCGCTGTTGCTTTGCCTCTCAAACAGGTCATAGGTCAGGACACCCACTGCACCAGAGGCTTTGGCGCTGGTCTTGCTGAAGTTGCAGACTTCAGTTTTCAGTGGGCGTACGGTGGGTTGGGGTGGGCTGTGGCAGTTGCCGCTCTCTAGGAAAACCCTTTTTGAAAAGGAAAAATTAGATAATCAATGGGTACACTCATTTTTAGGAAACTAGTGTAGTTTTTTCAAGCTGCATCTATATTTCAACCCTCAGTTTCTCCTTGCAAAGAAACTGAACATAAAGTCTTTTTCTGTTTGAGAATGTGTTACACTTACTTGGGGTCCACTAAGCAGTAGTTATTGGTGAGGTTGGTGATCTCGATGGTTACATTTCTTCGGCTTGTGAGGTTGGCAGCCAAAGCCTCTGCTGATTCGCTCATATTGTTGATTGGAAAAGCTGTAAAAGGTCAGCTGTGTTACAATAGTGGAGAAGTTAACCATGCACATACTGCTGTTCACAGTGCCTGTAATAAAAGATGTACAGATCCTCCTACCACACAATTCAAGAAATTTGTCAGTAAACCTGTAGCTTACCTGTCTGGATCACAGGTGTGCTTCTCACTCAGGCAGTGCCAGATGTGAAACCCTGGCTTCACACTTCAGATCATCCTTGTTGGAGAATGTGTGACACCCAAAACTGTCTCCACCCACAGCACACACCTTCTGTTCTCTCGTCGGTCACCATCTCAAACTTTTTTTCCAGTCTTTCGTCTCAGGTATGTGCAGCGTACGGAGGCGTGAAGACAGGGTGTAACCAACGACAACCACATAACTGTAGCCTTTTTGTTTTCATACTGCTGTTATTTTTCTAAGCTGGGCGCCAGTTTGATCAGTTCTCTGTGACATTGCTTCACACCTCAGTGTCTCCTTATGCACCACACCTTCAGTTTTTAGGTGTGTGATGTTGTTTTTTACTTTTGCATGGGGCGACAAACATGCAATACCTCTACATAGCATGCTGTGCAGCCTAACTAACACTGTGTTCATTGTAATAAAGTGAAGTTTGACTGATTCATGTCTGTTGACACGTTCTGAAGAGATGGAAAACTTTTCAACATTTGTGATTAAATGTGAAGTTTTCTGCCCAAATTAAAAATGATACAATAAAAGTAAAAGACAAGAAATCAATTGAACTGTTTTTTTATTCATTTAAAGCACCCATACATTACATGCATGATGGACAAATGTATGTAGGTCTTCAGGAATATTTGTGTCAACTGTGTTTTCACAATTCATTCCACATCAATGCACTCATTTGCGGCAGAGGATTTTATTCTCACAGCAGTACAAACAGATCTATCTGCCCATCTTGTCATACACTTCAAGTTTAATCATAGCTCTGCCCTCGTCAGACATGCAGGCCCTCACATCCACTGTCCGTGCAGCGTACTTCACCCCCGAGCCGTCGGCCTCGTGGCGCACGAAGTTGGTGAAGTCTTTCCCCTCGTACATGAGCTCGAACAGCTTCTTGTCGCAGGCCTTCGTGTGCTCAAAGACACCCACCCCCAGCCAGTTCTTGTAGAAGTTATAGTCAAAGGGTACAGAGAACATGACAGCCATCAGCTCATTGCAGTGGCGGTTGCGCATGTCGAAAAGCTCATAGGTGAGGACGCCCACGGCGCCCGATGCCGTGTTGTCGTCCTTGGTGAACGAGCACACCTCGGACTTGGTGGTGCGCACAGTGGGCTGCGGAGGGTTGTAGGTAAAACCGCTTTTCATGTAAACCCTGGAGAGTAGAAGTGGGTAGATGAGGTCATAAGTAGTGGAGAAAGTACTTAGATCCTTAACTTAAGTAAAAGTACAACTAACTCAATGTAAAACTACTGTGACAGTCCTGCTAAGTTTGGTAAAATTAAAAGTAGTCTCAGTAAGGTCAGGCTGGTCCAAAGGATCACCAGGTAAATCTGAAGGGCCATCAGATAATTAATGTAAATAGTATAATATTTCCTTCTGAAATGTAGTGGAGTGTAAGTATAAAGTGGCAGCAATGTAGTAGAGTAAATGTACTTAGTTACTTTCAACCCCTGGTAGTCATGCAGAAGCGGATTCATGTACATTTCAGGCATCACGTTAACTGTATTTATTGGTCCATACTCAAAATTAGTATGCACAAATAAATCATCAAGCAGAGCAGCGACTCTTACTTTGGGTTGATGAGGCAGTAGACGGAGCTGACATTGGTGATCTCTATGGTGCAGTTGCGGTTGGTGGTGAGGGTGATGGAGTGGGACTCTGCAGTCTCAGGCATGGTGACAGCTGCTGAAGTGGCTGAACGACAGAGGGCAAGAAGAGCTGTGAACAATGGGAACTGATCAGGTTGAATGTTGTTATTAGCTTTTTTAAGAAACTGCCCTGAAGCTCTTCATTAATTGCATAGAATCCAATTATTGCTTTTACTGAAATATTCACCTGTTATGTTATAATTCATGTTTTCACTGCCAAGTGACGTGAAAACATTTTTTTCTAGATACACACTGTAACATGAGGATGAAGTTATCTGCATGTAGAACAGCAAACATTACCTTTTTAATCTTGACATAAAATAAAGTTCTAAAGGTTCCTCTGCTGACCATTATAACAGACTTTCATCCAGTAACATTACCATTTGACATTTGCTTCTCAAAACAGCTCTAGCTTTTGTGAATACTACATAACTACCTAAAAGTAAATGCACTTACTTTACTTTACGGCACACACACAGGATGGCAGAGAGTCCTCTGAAAAGAGGTTTGGAGTTTGGTTTGGAGGCAGGTGCGAAGACACACCCTCTCAGTGGCATAGAGTCACACCTCACCTGCTGTCTGAGTTTCCAGCAGGTGTGGCTGTGTTCTGTCTTCAGGAGACACCCATGAGCATGTAATGTCAGTTATAGGTGATAACTTTAACTCTTGAGTTGAGAGATACAGTAACATACATAGGTGAGCAGAAACATTCTGTATTTTCTTTGTTATCTGTGATTTAAAACAGTACCGTACTGGTGATCACGTGATGGAAAAGTACTGCTTAAACAGTGGTTGACAAATACCTGAATGTCTGCTAGGATTAAAAGGGTAAAGAGGAGCAGCCACACCTGTCAAACTGTCGATACATCTCCTGATGGTGATGACTCATTTTAGATAAAGCCAAAAGCCTTCAAACCAGTTCATCTGAAAGAACACGTTTATCCTGGTTGGTGATAAATTCATTTCTTACATGCACATTCAGGCTTTTCACTGTAGGGTTAAGAGTGTTGTCACAGTCCTTGTGTCACTAATAAATGAGCAACAGAATTTCCTCTCCTCAGGTTCGGATGTATAAACTCTTTGTCTTTACCTACTCTGTGTACGTGCAGTCAGACCCAGCATCCACTCACTGGATGTGAGGCTCTGAACAAGTCACCTATCCATCAAATGAAACAGTGTTTTTCGTGTGTGTCCCTCAACAAGAAGCTTCTCAAGCTCAGCATTTCAGCTTGAACAAATGCAGCACATAAGTATGTAGTGTTTACAGTATTTCTACACTAGGATGTAAAATAAATGTATTTTTAATCTACAGAACTTCACCAAACTACCATGATTCTATGGGAAGTCAAAGAACAACCACATTATTAAGCTTTTCTGTTTGCCAGATTCCCTCTCTCTCTCTGATAATGTGGAGCATCGACAACCTGTTTTATGAAAAACTTTAACAACGTGAGGGGCCCACATCTGGGGACGAGTCATAGGGATCAGTGGGGAAGCATAAATGTCTTAATATGCATATATGAGGTACCCTGAAGCATAATCACAGCATTCAGTGATTACGTCATCATCTGTGTCACCCGTGTGGTTGCCCGTCTTTAATTTGTACATCTTTACCGCCATCTTGTGGCCAAATCACAACAGTCAGGAGATGTAAACAGGCCTATTTCCAGAAAAACAGAAGCTTTGCCTCAAATCGTGTGCCGGAGGAATAATTGTAGGCTAAAAATCGCTTCAGCAAAAATTCATGTGACTTATAGTCATCAATCATGAACATAAGAGACTTTTTGATTTATTTCAAGTCAGACATTTGTACAATTCATCAATTCACTCATGCAGGTGATAAACATTAATTCTGTTCAGACTTTGGTGTAAAAACATATAAAAATATAAAATATACAACATGTAAAAGATGTACAAAATAATGCAGTACAAACAAAAAATGAAGTACCTGCTTAATTAAACAAAAAAGCCTATGACACGAGCCTGTGCGAATGATTTTAAACCTGCTCTCTTACATGGTTATATAGAAAGATGGAAGCAGGGCTTATGGGGCACAAAACAACATATTTTACTTAACAAGAAACAAATCAATTGTTGAAAGTTGGTATATTTACAGCTAAAACATATATGTTGCAGTATAGTTGTGTATACCCCCAATTTTATGGAAGTGCAATACTACTGATACATTTTTGGGCTACCGTTTCAAATGAACTCAGTTTATTGAAAAATTATAAATGTGGTTTATTTACAAAAATATAAAAATAGGACCTATATCTGAAAATAATACATCCATACTCTGTAAAATGTAGAAATAAGAAGCTAAACATTCAGTGCCACAAATACCACAACATATTTTAAGTGACATATGGAAACACCCTGGTACCCCGCAGACTTGATGTGATGAATTACTCAACTCAATGAAAAGAAAAAAAATCAAGAGTCTGCCAATCAACTTCCATGTTATATGGATATTAATGGAAACCAATGGCTGTCTGGAATGGTAGGAAAAATATTTTCATCCAAAAATCTAGAACACAAAAGCATGCACATTTGCAAACTGCCATGTAAAGTATACATGCTATGTAGCAAATGGGCAAAATATGCAAAACCTCTGATCCTTTAAGTATTCTATGTTTTGAAAAGACCAAAACCAACAATGACCTTCTTATTTCCCTAACCTGCCAGGTCCAAGTCCATTGGTTCTTAGTGAGGAGATTTTAAAACAGATCACAAATGTATAGTTTCATTTTTACACCGGGCATCATAGTTTTTATAAAATGTTATTCAAACTGGAGGAAATAGTCATTTTCTTAGGGACAATTTTCAGCAGTGGATTAATACACATTTTGTGCTTTAGTTAGTATTTCCGGCAGCAGGATGGTGCATGTCTGAATTGGTCAAAATGAACAACAATGTATGTGCATCAGTGAGGCTCAGTGATGTGTTAATAATAGTTTTTAGAAATAATGGGGCTCTATGGCTCAGAGGAATACGATATATCAGCCTCAGAAGGCTGCCAGTCTCAGTTCATTGTTGGCTGGGCTATTTTTATGGGATTTGTTGTTAATAAGAAGAGCACCCCCAGCCTTACCCTTTAGAGCCCCCACTTCTGAGGGAACATGGTTCCAGCAGTGACGGATGTCAGACCTGTCTTCTCTTCTATCCATTGGTTGTAATTGGTCACTCTGGTGTAAACGCCGGGTCGAAACTCCTTCGCGCAGCCATCACCCCAGCTGATGACTCCAAACTGAAAGAGCCTGTTCTCAATCTCACACACCAGAGGCCCTCCTGAGTCTCCCTGCGGTTAAGAGACATGCAGCATTAAAAGAAATCAGCAAACTGTTCTGTGGAAGCACGATCGAGTCCGGACCTGTAGACATACCTCGCAGGCGTCCTGGCTCCAGTCAGGACGACCGGCACAAAACATGTTATCAGTGATCATCTTTCCGTAATAGTCCTTGTCTTGACACACATCATCAGCGAGGAGGTTCACCTGGGCCTCTCTGAGGTACTGAGACCTGTACCACAAAGCTGGAAAGAGGAAAAGCTCTTAAAATACTAAACAACTTCTTATAATTTAGAATGCATGTAATTAAAGGAGGGAAAGAACCAATTATATTTACTAAAGTACTCACCTTGTTTCTCTTTCCCATATCCAGCGATCTCACAGGTGACACCAGGCTGGAGGTTCTGCTGAGCCGGCGGCAGGCAGACAGTCTTCACCGTGTTACTCTCCTCTGCACACCTACCATTTCTGGCCTTCAGCTTCAGTAGGGCTACAGGACAGTTACCACAGAGTTACTGCTTTGATACATTACACCAGCAACAGTACATGAGGTATCCTTCCACTCACAAATGAGCTTTTGTCGATATTACTTCTCTTTGATATTTTAGCTTCAGCTTCAGCCGTCTGGTCACAGACACTTGACACTTAGTGGCTGGAAGGGAATCTTTAAGCATTTAAAGGCCTGTTCATACCAATGTCATTGTTGAAGTTGCCCTCACTGTTGTCGAACCCTTCATGGATGATGATTTCTTCCACCCTGAATGTCTGCTCCACAGTCAAGTCGGTCTCGTTCAGAGCATTCTTCCCCAGGGTGACGGAGAAGCGGCGCTCTTTTGTTTTGGAGCTGAAATACAGATTGTCAAGAATCAGTCCAATCATCCTCCTTTTCAGCACCTGCTGTGATTACAGTAAATGATCTCACTTCCTACCCGTCGGGGAAGCAGTGGGCGGCCGTGAGGACCCAGCAGGCGGAGATCAGACTGCCCCCACAACGGAAAACCTTCTCCTTTGATTTGCTGCGCCAAAATATGGCAGCAACCCACGGGTGGGATTCCACGGTGGCAACTGTTCCACCCACGATCTTCATCTGCTTCCCTCTGCTGCGCTGGCCACAGGCCAACTCTATAGCTGGGGGTTAAACAAAGTTCAAAACAATCAAGGGAAAGAGCATGGAAATGGAATCAAATGGGTTTAGTAAGGATTGGTGTTAGGTTTCTAGACGCGGCAACAGGTGGTGTTGTGTTGAAGTCTGTTTCCCCATCAGTGTTTCTCCCTAACTGACCCCAACCTTTCCCCAACCCTGACCAGTTATCTCTGCCTACTCCCGAGCCATACAACTTAATATTTACTCTTCAGTAAGGTGGTGAACTTACCTGGCAGTGGTTCTGTGGGCGCAGGTGAAGGTGGAGCTGGAAGTACAAGATCAGAGATCTGACTGTTTTAATACTGGTGAAGCATGTACTCTAGATTAGTATTTCTTGTAAGTCTGTAAAGAGGAAGTGAACTTACATGGCTCTAAGCTACAACGTGGAACATCACAATACTCCCACACCAGCTGCTGGTTTCTCCAAACATAACACCACGGACGTTGTCTGTAGTGAAGATTTCTGTTGGGAAAACAACAGATCCATTAAACAAACTTATTTATATGCACGTCTTCTACATGGATCATCTGCTGGTAAAGATGTTGACCTGTCAGCTATTAGTATTTTTGCACAATATCATGTATGTAGCTATCAAGTGTATATTTTAGTGTATATTTGCAAAAGTCTTTTTTTTTATGACTCAGCTAGAAACATTAAAAAATTAAAGGGAACAGGATTTCAAACCTCCACTTTCATCAGTTCACATTTAGTCATGAATATTTAATGCTATAGGGAAAAATGATTTGAAACCATCTTTTTAGGGCTTTAAAAGTGTTTTGGCATTAATAAGCAAAGAAATGAGAAAAACTAATGTGAGAACCACACAACCTTACAAAGTGAGGCCAGACAACCACAACTGACAAGAACGAGCGAAAGCAAGTTGTCCAGAAATTTCTTGATTGATCAGTTAATCAGTTATAAAATGTCAGGACATAAAAAGGCCAATCATAATCTCTCAAAGCCCAAGATGACATCTTTGTGTTGTTTTGTCTGACCAACAGTCCCACAACCCAAGCATATTCAGATATAAATATTACATAGATCACATATTTAACTTACATTACAGCCTACAGCAGGTTAGATCTACACAGCACGCTAGAACTACACTGCTCAAAAGAAGTTAAGGGAACACTTAATCATCACAGTATAACACCAAGTCAGTTAAACATCAGGGATATCACTCTGTCCATTTAGGAAGCACAAGTGAATGTGAATCAGTTACAGCAGCTTTGGTGCAAATGAAAGTGACAACAGGTGCAATGGGGAGGCCAAAGCAAGAAAAAACCCCAAAAAGGGAATGGTTTTACATGTGGTAGCCACAGACAGTTGCTCTCTCCTGATCCTTCCTGACTGAGTCTTCTCTAGTTTTGTGTTTTGCTAATGTCCGTGTCACTGCTGGTAGCATGAGGCGGTACAACATGACCTCCAGCAGGTGACTGGTGTGCATGTTTCTGACCAAACTGTCAGAAACAGACTGCATGAGGGTGGCATGAGGGCCCGACATCCTCTGGGACCTGTGCTCACAGTCCAGGACCATGCAGCTCGACTGGCATTCGTCAGAGAACACCAGAATTGGCAGGTCTGCTTTGGCGCTTCATTCTCTTCACAGATGAGAGCAGGTTCACACTGAGCACATGTGACAGGCGTGAAAGAGTCTGGAAACGCCGTGGTGAACGTTATGCTTGCTGTAACATCATCCAGCATCACCGGTTGGTGGTGGGTCAGTGATGGTCTGGGGAGGCATATCCTTGGAGGGTCTCACAGACCTCCATGTCAGAGCCAGCGTTACCCTGACTGCTGTTAGGTACCGGGAGGAAATCCTCAGAGCGACTGTCAGACCTGACGCTGGGGCAGTGGGCCCTGGGTTCCTCTGGGTGCAGGACAACGCCCGGCCTCATGTGGCCAGAGTGTGTAGGCAGTTCCTGGATGACGAAGGCATTGATGTCATTGACCGGCCCTCACGTTCCCCTGACCTAAATCTAATTGAGCACCTATGGGACATTATGTATCGGTGTATCTGACGCCGCCAAGTACCGCCACACTCTGTCCAGGAGCTCACTGACGCCCTGATCCAGGTCTGAGAGGAAAAAATCCCCCAGGACACCATCCGCCGACTCATCAGGAGCATGCCCAAACGTTTCTGGGAGTGAATACAGGCACGCAGGGGTCATACACACTACTGAGTCACATTATGAGTTACTGTGATGAAAAGTTGGATCAGCCTGTGATTTCAGTTTTTTACTTTGATTTGGTGTGATTGTGAATCCGGCCCTCAATGGGTTGATGTTTTTGGTTTCCATTGACCGTTGTTATGTCATTTTGTTCTCAACAAATTATACAATGCACATCAGGAAAGATTTTCAACTTGAATAGTTCATTCATCAAGATCCGATGTGTGATTTAAGTGTTCCCTTAAGTTTTTTGAGCAGTGTATTTAAGACCTGTGAAGGAAATTTAAGACTTTTTAAGATTACCTAAGGTGCTTTTTAAGCTTTTTCAGCCTTGGTTCACACTTTAATGTCCATAGTAACTAATTTTTTTTCTAAGGAATACAAAATCAAAACAAAAAACAAAGCCAGATTAGTAACACCCTACCTGCAGTAGTTGTGCCTCCCTGAATTGACATCTGAAGACATGTATAGCACCCTGGTGTCCAAATCCCACTGCGCACATGTCCGTCCACTCTCTGACTTAGACACTGTGCCTCTGTAGTACAGTCCTAAACCGTTGTAGCACTCAGGACCTTTTACTAAAGAAACAACAGGGAGATTTAAAAAAAACAAACAAAAAATGCATTTAAAAAAGAAAACAATAAAGGCAGTTTGGTTTTGCAGTTAAGCTCCTCACCTGTTTCACAGCGTTTTCCTTCAAATCCATCAGCGCACAAACAAAACATGTGTTCACCAGTAGACAGGGATGGGACAGAGGTGCCTCCATTAAGACAGATCCCACCTAACAAATGACATGACACACCTCATGCTCAGTACAGCCTGAACTTAATGTACAGCACCGGAGTGCCTTGACAAATGTAGAGTTTCTCACCTGAAATTTCAAAGGAGAAGGAGGATGAAGACGAGGAAGAAAAAGAGGAAGAAATAGAAATATCCTCCCACCCTCTGTCTCTCAGTGAGCCCTGAAAGAATGAAAAGTTAGATTAATTCTAATTCTCTTAATTAATGAAAATAAATGCAACATTTTACTGAGTAAGATAAAGTCCTCACTGCTTCGGCTGTTGACAGAGCCACCAGGGTCCACAGTAAAACACCAAAGTTCTTTGTAGTTATCATGTTGCCTCACTGCACAGACTGAAATCCAAACAGACTTTGCATGAGCGTGCTTGCAGAGAGCTGTGTGAGAGCCTCCTCGGGCTTTATTCTGTTTTTGTGCGGGGAGGAAGGGTAGACGTGATTGGCTGAGGAGCGGTCTGACATTGGATTTGGTGTGTGAAGAAATATGTTTGCGGGGCGAGCGGATGAGTCAGAGTCATTAATCCACATAAGTTATTCTCAGAAAGCATATCGATATAACTGGTATGTCAGACACTGTGCTGTCAGATTGGACCTGCAGCTGTTTACATGGTGAATTTAACAGATTCAGGATTAAAATGAATCCGGATCAATGATGAAATAAATATGAAAAAAATATCTTCATGATTGTCTGGAAATGATAAAGCTGCATGAGTTTGGCTTCCACACCCTGTGACACCTCAGAAAGTCTCACCGGTACCGATACCACGACAGCATCTGTTGGGTAACTGATACTGGTGCATGTACTAATAATGACCAACAGAAGAAGTAATGTGTCAGTCATTAATGTGGGTGTCAAGAGGTCAGGAGGAAGTATTATTTACTAAATTTGGACTTTTCAAGATTTATTCATCATCAAAAACAACAAATCTGACTCAGAATTGTTTGATTTATTTATGGTTTAGCTTCTTTGCTTCTTTGTTCCTGTCTTTTGATTTGAATATGTTACAGTCTTTTATTTGTATGTGAATGTTATGTTTTTTATACATTTAATTTTAGTTGTTGACAATTTCAGTAATAGTCAGACATTCAGACTTATTTTAAGCCTTTATTTATATCTCATTATTTACTATTAATGCTGAAGTCAATGGACGCTTTTTTTTTTTTTTACAAAAATGTTTTTAATTTATTAATAATTCATTTTTAATTAATTACTAGGTGGCAGTCGTTAGTCATTGGTCTAATGAGACGAATGAATGATGAATTAATGAGTTGGAACACGACGAGTTCATGAATTATTCATAAAGTCAGTCAAACATTTGATTATGGTCAGTTACAGTTACAGACTAATATAGAGACGCGTCATAGTTGCGTTCCGGTACTTAAACAAATAGCATACACCACTGATTAGGATCCCGGAAGTCGCTTAGTTTGGATCCTGCTTGGTCGATGTTACGTTAAATTTCCGTCGGAATTTTTTGTTGAGTACACAGAGAAACGGAGTAAGGCAGAATTCGTATTATTATTAAGAACATTCATTTAAAAACTTCAATTTCCATTAAGTCTCATTCATTATATTTGTATCATACTTATTTTATATCCTAATTTTGTATCATAATTATTTTTAATCAAGTTTTCTGTGTAATTTTATTTTATTTTATTTATTTATCATGCTGACTTGTTTTAATTGTAATATCCCATGTAAAACCGTTTATAAGTTTTGTTATGAAATCCACATAAATAAAGTTTATTATACTTTTACATTACACTTTTTACTTTAATCTTTGTGCCCTTAAATTTCATCTAGTTGAGGATAGGAGACTGTCCTCAATAAATATCAGTTGAATTCATGTTCATGTCTTATGTACATAACATATTCTAGCTTAAGCTAACAACATAAAAGACAATGAGGTTGAGCTTGTTGTGATGGTAAATGTTAAAGACGTGTTTAAGTGTACATGATGTGGATTTATATGATTAAAACTGAAATAAAACCATTTTAAAAAAAATATAATTATAACATCATATATTTACATTCTCTCCAGCTATTGTTTGGTGTTAAACTCAGCAGGACCACGAAGCCAGAATTACGTCTGTTACAAGGCCGCAAAAACTACAGCAGAAGCTATATTTGACGTACACACGCTTGAAGTAATCGTTTACGAGCAGCCCCTGAACGCGTCAGGAGCGCTGAGCGGCTGAGCGGTGGATGAGGGAGATTATCCTCCTTCACGGCGACTCAGTGTTAACGCGGATCCAAACAGGCAGGAGGGGGACCGGGATAGAACATGGGAAACACCGACACTAAACTTCACTTCAGGAAGGCGGTGATCCAGCTCACGACCAAAACACAGGTCGGTTTTTATTTAGATGAAAACACAAAGGTAAAGCGGCGCGCGTCGTTTGTGCGTTTGTGGTTTATAATGAGGCTGTGGAGAGAAAGTTGGTACCAGATGGCAGCCTGACCTGAAGCCCTGATGACACAAAGTGGAGAGAAAAACAAGGAAAACACTGCAATCTGTGTAGAATTTAGGATTTTCACACTAAATACACATTTGCTTCGTGGAATATTTATGTTTCTGTCAATATTTTATCACTTTGAGAGGCTTGAAAGCTCCATTTTGGCCTCTGGGTGAACTAGGTTTTTACCATTTCCTGTTTATTTTGGTTTAATGATCCTGACATAAGTTGAACATTAAACACATGGCTTGAATAACGTTGAATTCGATGAGTTTTTTTAACAGGCAGCAGAACTGTGTCCCCCTGGCAGGTGCATTTAAGGTGGAACTGACTAGATGTTATCAGCCTGTGTCACTGCTGCATGCTGGTTATACCTGCAGCGGTTAGTCGATTAATCAGTCAATTGACAGGAAACTAAAAAGAGTAATTTTCAAGCAAGAATTAAACATTTAACGTTTTACTGTGACAATAAATTGAATGACCAGGTTTTTTTCATTGTTGGTCATTATTTGCACCCTCAATGATAATTTTTGGTTTCCTACATATGCTCTTCATGTTTTAAGTTAAGACCATTTATGTGCTGACTTTAATACCTGACTGTTGGATCTCTGAAACAATTAGTTTATTCATCAAATAGAAAATGAATTATTCAAGCAAAAATGCCCAAAAACTGATTCCAGCTTTTCAAAGGTGACAAGTGAATGCAGCAAATGCACGTTAAAAATGAGCCGATTCTTCAGATGTTACTGAACTGTTACTTTTTATTTCATGACGTTAACTTATAGAAAGAGTCTTTCTTTTCCTGACTGAAGAACTTACAGCCTCCTCCTGCAGATCACTACAGGTTCTGAGATGGTGTAGTCTTGGTGTGATGTCCAATAGCTTCAGCGTGTGTTCCTGTGAGGTCTGCTTTGGATCATCGTCCTGTTGTAGAAACAAGCCTGTTCACTGACTGCAGGACATTTGGTGATATCTACTGGACTCTATTCCTCCCTGTATCTGAGAAATGTTTCCTTCCTCCAAAGCAAAACATGATTAACAGTTGGCAAAGTGTCATTCAAAATCCTGCTTCTTCCTCTGGTGATTTCGCCCAAAAAGCTCCATTTATCAGCACTCTGGCTGATCCAGATGTTCCTTTGCAGACTGCAGGGGTTTCCATCCGTTTCCGTGTCGACCCTGTTTGTGCATCAATGCTGCACCACCACGTCTATGTCAGCCGAAACTTAGTTTTATCTGAAAGATTTCTTGGTCTTCCAGATCTTATCTTAACTTCCACTCTTCATCTTAACTGTCATTTCATTTTTTTTCAGTTAGCTTCAGATGCTCGTTTACACACCTAACCCTAACCCACAGAAGAGAATTCATCATCAGCTTCACCCGTCTTAGAAGTCTGAAAGAGTCAATCAATGCTGAACAAGTTAATGAAGTTTTGAGTTAGTTGTTTTCTATTTTCTCAACTTAAAGAAAACTAACAGAGCATTAACATTGAAGAAAGGCTCATGTTTAAGTCTGTTTGCTGATGTATTTATGTCTCTTCACTTCAAAAATCAACAGATGGAATTTTCCTAAACATTTGCAAACAGCTGTAAACACACAGAGTGATGTGTTGGTGTGTGTCTCCCTCCTCTCTCCTGCAGCCTGTTGAAGCCACAGACGATCTGTTCTGGGACCAGTTCTGGGTCGACGCCTCCACCACCGCCCAGGATGTCTTCGCTCTGGTGCCGGCGGCCGAGATCAGAGCCGTCAGAGAGGAGTCTCCGTCCAACCTGGCAACCCTCTGTTACAAGGTGAGCTGCACAGATTACTGCGCAGCATGTCGTGTCAGGAGCTGCAGCTGGGCTTCGGTCCGTCCTGGATACAGTCAGAGTCGGAGGAATGCTGCTGTTTGTTGTTCCCACAGTTTGAGTGTAAAACATGTCAGTTTGTAAAAGGTCAAAGGTCATTCATGTTAAAGTAGAGGGAAGTTTTTAGACACAGCAGATGAGAAAAAGACACAAGATTCGAGATTTGTAATTGAGATTAATTGAGATCACGGTTGTAAGAAGGTCTAGACAGACCCGAATGTTAGGATGGTTGTGATGCTGTACAAGAGCAGTGTGCAGGATATTCTGATTTTCAAGACTGAAGTGACACTTTCCAATGTACCTGCACCTAAGACATTTGGATGTGCGAATATCTTTGAGATTAAGGAAATGCCATTGAAGTCGGGTCCTGAACGTTAATCCTTTTAAGATATCGACTGAAATACATCTGAGCTGCTTTTTAAATCTTTTGGGACAAGTTGGAGTCAAGTCACAAGTCCTCATGAGTCTCTGAATTCTAAAAATGACAATAATACAGCATTTGAACATTTAAGATGACATTTGTGTTTTTTACATAACCGGATCCAAGTCCTTTCAATCCACAGGAATGATCATTCAGATGTTTAAGATGTTTGGCCATGTTTCATTTTACCAGGTAAAAAAATGACAGTGAATATTTTTTCTTGATTAAAACTTTTGGAATTCAAGTCTCCATTAGATTTGCTTAAAATGGAAATTTGTCTTCCTGGCAACACAGTAAAAACATACATTTATAAAACACACAAAAATACATGAGACAAAATGAACATACAAAAACAAACAGCCAGGTGCCTAAGGTCTGCACTCCCCTGAATTCCCCT